GTTCACTGGAGACGAGCGACATCTGTTGTTTGTCTGACTATGACTGGCTACGGTGCTTCAGCTGAACTCAACATTGGCCAGCTGTCGTCAGTCCAATGCCAATATCACGGTCTTTTTTTTTTTTTTAGGGAATTCATTATCGGTACTGTATTATAATGATACGCAAAAGCGAATGCTTCATGCGTCCAGTGCTGGCGGGAGAGCAGCCTTTGGGCAAATATACTTCACATCAACGACAGCCTTCGGACCGATTTTTGATACTGCGCGTCATATATTCTCATGGGTAAGGACGCCGCGCACGTCGTCATCCCTCGCGATAAAACGTTTGCCCAACCGTCGAAATCAATAAAATATTCATATAATAGAAACATTTTCAACTCTCGACGTTAACAGCGGTTTACTTTTGCATTGAAGAGGCTTTGGTGGTTTGGCTATTACTGAGAATTTCCTAACTACTAAACTTCTCCGATTAGTGCGATTGTAGGAAAGGCGGCATCTGTATGCAATAGGGCCTCCTTTCAACGGAGCCGTAGCGTCTATTCTTAATAGCCTTTGTTGTAGACGGTGGCTGTAGATGCAAAGCTGCGCTCCCTTCGGTCGAACGAAGCGGAGCGGGCATGAATAGATTGGATAGATAGAAGTTATCATTGCTGACAAGTTCATTATTTATGCTTAGATAAGGTACATTATTCGGCTATGGCGCGCGCGTCCCAAGGAAACACGCCACTCTAGTTCGTAAGCACGCCAATCAAACGCAACCATGTCTAACACTCGCTGAGCCGAAAGGTAGCCAAAAACGTCAATCCCGTTAACTACGGCAACTTCGTTGCCTGTCATTTATGTTCAGAGAAAAATGTTTTATTAAAACTCACGTATCTGCGTCTTAACGTCGATGTGTGTTGTTTTTTTTTCGTGATACCCGTGACAGATTTGTTTTTTTCGGCTTGGTGGTACGATTAGTGAAAGACAAACAGCGCTGAATATAAAACAGCGTTAAATGGGGGAAGTATCGACATGATTATTCGACACTAATTACGGAACAGATCCGTAGAATACTAAATGTACAAGACTTGATTTTTGAAAATTTCTGCGAAATGGGTAGAAAAAATGTAACATACATTTACTGGCCCATTAGGATGATTGCTAGAAAGCTTTGCTGCCTACTAATAGTATCGATAAGTGATACTAAAGTTCATTATGGAATAATATAAAAAATGTAGTTGTTAGCGACCATTTTGCGTCAGGCAGAAACCTTAGTCAATGGAATATAACTGGCACTGCCATTAGCCGAAGGGCAAGCTCCACTGAATCAAATAACTACCTATAGAGAGAGCGTTCATAATGAAAGCTCGTCCAAATCACCGGCAACGTGTCTACGTGTAGGTGCTTTGTGGCCGCTGCGCTATATCAAACTATTCAATTTTGGTTTCTATGGAAGATTAGCAATAATGTAATATCTACGATTTGATGATGGGGTGTCTACGTATATGTGAGGCAACACAGATGGCGCTCTTGTCGGTACAGATATGTCCGTCTGGGCATGCGATTTTGTGTGGCAGATAAGCGTAGTAGAAATCGTTGCAAACATTTTGAAAGGAATAAAAATTCATTTGTATTAATTAAAGCCATTATGCTTTAGCGGGTGCATACGCAGGTGCACACGCCGGTGCACAAGGTCTTCGCTAGCACTGTTTTTTTTTTATTAAATTACACATGAGTCACTCGATCCATCGTTGTCAAATTACTCTTGTTAGAGCTACTTAACTAAGTTGAAGATATACAGACGTTAGCTTCATCGCAAAGGGTCTATCTAAACTGTTTGTCCGATATAGTTTGTTTTTATAGCAGCCTGGTCGAGGCCTTTTGTAATGGTATTTGTTTTTGGTTTTTCTGAACCGAATTCAATAGGACAACCTGTTTTCTTTGAGAAAACAGGATGTCCTACTGAATTTAGTAGGCCGTTACGAGACGATAGAAGGACAGCAATGTCAATCGAGGAATTACCGCTGGAATCGATGAATCGTATCTTATCAAATATGGGTGTTTAAATAGAAGGTCCTTAGCCTTTCGGGGAACTAAGAGGAAAAGCTCTTATGAGAGTACGTAGGATCATGATTATAGTCATCTCACATACACACGAGACTGCAAGCTTACTAAACTATGCAGTTGACCTACAGGGTGTTGCAAAATGTAGACGCCATTAGCAACAAACATTTACTGATTCTGCTCTATCAGCCTGTACGTCTTGTTTTCCGGGGATCTTGTTTCAGTTTTTCAGGTTATACAATGTACGTGTTTTCTACATAACCATCAATGTTGAAGAGGGCATAATGCTACATTTTGATTCTTAAAAAACAATACCATAACTAGAATTAGTGAGCCTTCTTTCAATTAGCAGTGAGCAGTTTTCAATTATGAAAATCGCTCATCGATCTCTACTCATTCACACGACTTATAAATAATAGACAAATATATAATAATTGTTTCATGTAGAGATGTCTCGCAATTCGTTGGGTGATATGGGTTCATATGACACTAGCGTTATATGGAACTAGCGTTGTTTCGCGCCAGGTAAGAATTCGGATTATTTCAAGCCTTTTTTTTTTGCCATGTATGTCCAGTAGCTGCTGTTCATTAAATAGGAACGACTTCTCTTTTCATGAGAGTAGAAACGTCAATGAATTTACTCACCACATCATAAAAACAGCACGAAAACACGAAGCGGCATGCACACACGCACGTCGTTCATTTACTCAGGGAGAGTGCTAGTCAGCCGTTCGGCGGGCGCTTGCCTAGTTAAGCGAACATCCTGATGATAATCAGGGGGGGGCCGACTATTTCGTTTCTATCTCGGTTTTGTCACTGTTGTCGACTACGCTAGCGGTCATTACAGAACGATTCATTTACGAACATAGGAAGCAACGCTCCTAATCAGTGTCAGAACGACTGAGACAGAGAACAAATCAGGGCGGTCCCTTGTCCAGGTACCCATTCAGAGTTGTTCAGTGAAGAGCTAATAAAGAAAAAAAAATAGTGCATAGTCTGACGATGCCCTAGTCATACAATATTGGTGAATTAACACACTGCTGCTCTGAACGAAGTTCACTGGGACGGGCGTAACCGTGACAATAAGTCTAATTTCAAGTCATCTAGTTCATTGTTAGGCGTCCCTATTTGATACGATATTTACGAGTTCATTTATAAATATGACGCTGAGAGGCTTTAGCTATGCGCAACCTTTAAATCGTGCATGAGCTTCGAAAATGCAAATTTAGCTGAAAGTCATCCGATGGAAGTCCCTCTTTCGACGTATGTGCTGTGGTATCTACGTTGGATAAGAACAGATGAAGATGAAGATGAAGAATCGATACGATGACCACTATGAAGGCTTGTTTCAACAGGGTTGGCTTTTAATACCGTTCATATAATTATGCGTGTAGAAGTATGACGTTCTGTTAGGTCTGGTGGCTTTTGTCTAAACAATGATAGATAGGTAATAGATAGATCTGTCGATTTTTTTTTGTTGTTTTGGCATTGTGAATGGAACAATGCGACATAGCAGCTATTTGGGCGAATTGCCGAACATATCTTCTCTCTTCTCTTAACCGAGATATGGTCAAAGATAGGATTATGCGCAAGATAAATAAGCGGTACTGACGAGCGCCTATAGCGCGGAATTACCATACACACATTGTTCCCCAACGAACCTGCTCACGTTAGCCTGATACGTTCACGCATGCGAGCGAGGTATCGTATCACTGAGTCGCATCTAACAAAGAAAATCCAAAAAGACAAGCTGTTTTTCATACCAATCCAATAGAAACTTTTTGTGTTATATCTTAAATTATACGCGTCTCAGGTTCTAGGTAGAAGAAAGTAGAATCGATGGCCATACATCCAAACAAGTATTCTATATATATACAAAGTGTGCGTGTCAAGTGGTGACGTCAACATTTTGGCATTGGCGTTTTTTTACAGTGAAATACTAATTGTTTCGTTGGTAATGAATTCTTGTCTCGGCGGTCGCCAACTCAATCGCGACAAGCAGAAAACAGTTATACGAGCGCGCCAAAAAAGCCGTCGATTTAAATGACGATTAAAGTGACGCTGATGAAAATGAGATGAGACTTTGGACAGATGGTCTTTGACCTGCCAGGAATCATTTAGTAATGATCGCAAACTGTGTTCTTATTTCCTCCGTCATTGTGTTGTAGCTATATATTGGGCTTATTTAATGAGGGATAAGGGCGGGACCAGTGAGAAAGGGGAGACGAGGAAATAATGGTATTTGTAATCCTGTAAATTAGGTATATTCAGAGACCTCGAATTGTCGACTGACGCAGCTCAATACCGGTCGCTCGCCCCGTGAACACGGCTAAGGGCCATGCGTCGAAATTTTTCCTACAAAGAACAAACAAATGGAGGCAGAAATTTTGAGTTTCGTTCTACACAAATGTCGAAATCGCAGAAGACCAAAGTACTGTGTAATCGGTTACGGTTGTAGTGGGGCATGCTTATATATTAGACAGTAATGGGGTGACTAACTTCACAACCGACTCTGTCGTGGACGGTGGGGAGTGCTTATGCTACAGACCCAAAATTTACACGCATCTGGGCGTCACCATATCCAAAGGCAGTAGCCTAATTCATGAGAACATTTTAAATTAAACTTTCGAACTATCCCTATAGCCAAAGTAGTTTCGGCTCAACAAAGGACAATTTACATATAAGTTTCAGCGTTCATGCGACATGTATTTTACCCGTCTGATGTTGTCTAAATCGTCTTTGCGAATTCTTAGTATAATAATATTATCTGATCGTTACCTAGTGACTGTTCGAGATCAGCTTATGCGTACGGTATTATTATTTTATTGTCAAACTTCCGTATTCTTTATCCTCCCCTAGTGATAACACAGCCGGTAACAGACAATTATCCAGACAAAGGAAAGTCAGCATAATTTTTGTTTTTTTTTTTTTATCATCTGAATTAATTCTAACAGGAAATATCTGGTGCTCGCCTCGAATACGGTACGTCCAGGTCAAATCTTTCGCGTGCATCTTCATCTGATTAAAGCACCTTACCCGCTCACCGTGCGAACATCCCTTTCATGTGACAGAAATGAAGTGGCCGCAGGAAGCGAAGTGATTGAGGCTGGCGAGAGTACGATCATTTTATTACAGGTAATATGAGGTCAGGGTAGGCATAGACGGATAATTTAGTAAGTTCATTTGTTTGGCAATAGCTGAATATTATGAAGCTAGATTTTAGGGTATGATACATTTACGAACGGAATTCATAGGGTATCATAGATTTGCTTTTTTCTATTTGAATTGGCGCCGTACGTCGTCTCTGAAGTTTCTGTATTTTATACGTTAATAAATAGATATAACTACTTCAAAAACAGATAACCGCAAAAGGCTAATTTAGTCGATTTTGTTTATTTTGCCATTTGTAAAGCTAGACCTTAGGTATTTATAAGCGTCTGTATATAAAAGTAGCTGAATTATATGTACTCGGAAGAATCCGTATATGTTATGTTGGTACGCTTCTTGGTTTTGAATAGTTCGAAGTCAAGCACTCCTATTCGACGACACCGTATTTTTATACGTAAGTTATGTTGTTCGATTTTTTGCCATAGGCGCTCGATGTCTTCATAAAAGATCGTACATTGCCAGCAGCATGTAAACAATGCTAAAAATAGTCATAATAACAATGCCACAGATAGTCTCTCACAGAGATTCGCCACTAAACAGCCCCTGGCGAATCCAGCCTGATCAATCATCACCTGTCGTCATGGGTGCGTTAGCGTAGCAGAACAATGAATATATCGCAGCACGAAAAACCTAATAAATCATCGTTTGATCAAACAGTTCCACCGAACAATGACCGTAATCACATACCAGACCCTCATGAAATGGATCTCGTTCATGCTCCTTGACTGTTCGTTGTTCCTCTATGGGGCACCGTCTCGTCATGCTTTGTTAGTATCCATTGGCACGTTACGGTAGGCGTACCGTAAGAAATTCGCTCTATTAATAGAATGCCACAATGATCATAGCTTCGTCGGCCGCAAGAGATTGCGTGACTTCTGAATGGCAGCCTCTCTAGTGTAATGCGTCTATGAACCTAACAATGGCAAAATGATTTCCATTCCAAAATCCGACTACTCTGACTCGCTCGCTTCCTTCCTCTAGAGCGTGTATCCGAGACACGCATGTGGCTTTTCAGCGGGCTTAAGTCAAAAACAAATCTGCGCCATGATTAATGTGGCGAACAAACAAACCGTACCTAATATATGCCTATAAGCCAATGAACAAGTCGGTGAATTGGGGGTAATGGCCGCTTGTGTATAGCAAGCAAACAGAAACTTCAGCGTAGGATCTCCTAAAGTCTGCTGTGTGATGAAGAAATGTCAGTTAGTTCAGTTAGCTCGATACAATTTTCTAACCAATGTCAGTGACTTAGATTGGGCGCATGTTTGTAGGCCTGATAGAAGGCCATTTCGAAAGAGTTAGTATAGTAAAATAAGCTCCTCTCAAGAAACTGATCTAAGTCGAGTGGGACACGTGTAGGCCAATAGATGCAATCACTTGCTATCGCTATAAGCAACTTTAACAAATTTTCAATGATTTTTTTTATGACGGATTTTTATGGGAAAATAATTGTATTGCTAGGTAACGGGAACATGAAAATAGACACGCGACAGATTTTGTTCAAAGAACTTTATTCTATGTTGTAATCAGTCGCTAACTGAATAAATCTTTTATATAACTGAATAAAGCTTTTTTTAAGACATGGCCACGTACATAGGAGCTATGATACCACATTAGGCATTGGATAAAATTGTTTCTAAGGGTCCTTCTTCTTTGATCCTTCTTCTAATCTTCTCTGGTCAGCACACTTGCAGTAACGTGCTCACTCATGCCATAATGAGTGGCACTAATAAGAGTAATAATAATAATAATAATAATAATGAGCAGTGTATTGACATGTTACAAGCAATAAGTGTAACATCACTTTTTTCCTGCTGTTGCTGCGCTAATGTTTTTTAGGTACCTCATAACGCAAAAAAAGGCCGCTATGTTTTCCAAGCGCAGGGTAACACAGGTGGTGCACTTGGAGGAACTTCCTTTTGGGAGGAACGCGAAGTCATCTTCAAACCCCAATTCCTCACCATTCTTATTCAAACCTCACAACTTGTCTACAACCTAGAACAAAAGAGTCAGTACAAATATAAATGGCATACTGTTTCAATTGATACAACCTTTGTTACTTACCGAAATTATGTAGTAGTTGCGTTGCTGGCACGTCTAGAATACGAAACCAGTACTCACTCTTGATGCATGTAAAAAATATAAACATCGTTGTCGATAATATGTAAACATATTTATTATCGAAATGTTAAGTATTAGCGTGGGACGGACAGCGTAACTATCTAACGTTCGTTGAACCTGATAATATTTGTCGAGCAAGATTATCCGGTTCGTCTTACTACTTAATGGATACTTAGTTTAAGTTTCTCGAAATGCAATTATCTCAGGCAAACTATATAGTGTTATTTCAGTAATTCTCACAAAAGCCCCGTTTGGCTCAATAGTTGCAGCCCGCATTGTACTTCTTACAACAGAGCTTAAACCGTACGAAGATCCTGTGGACGTTTTTCTATTGGTGAGCTATTATTCTTAGTTGCTTAAAGTTATCTTCATAATAAGCGTCAGTTGATTTTTAGCCAAAGAAGCTGTTGGCTCTCGTTCTGAGTATCCAAGTTCTTCAACAAATAATGCAAACATGGACATCGCTGCTCGTATCTAGAGCTCTTCGAAGTTAACAGTTCTGCAGCATAACTATCTACTCGAATTTTTAAGGAGACTAAGTAAGCAAATCTGTGAAGATAATCTCAGTAGGTTAAGCACGTTCTATAGGACTCGCGCGGAATCGTACTCAAACGTTGGACTTCACGCTATCCTTACCTTGGCGTAATTAGCGTTTCATTCGACCTTCCCGAAGAATACGAACCAGGATGGTGGACTATACGGACACAGGTTCTTAATCAGGTATTATTCTTTTTCAGAGTCGGACCTTGTTCAGCAGTATTAATCACAACAAATAAAGTCGTTATGCCAACAGCAGTGTAACAGTGTTAAAAAAATCAGATTAAATTCATTGCGTGTGTTAGTAATCGTTGTGTGTGTACGGCCAGGTTGAGGAGAAGCGCATTCTACTGGAAAGATGGTACACAGAACGCTTTGACGTCTACGTCTCGATGCCGCCATTTTTGGTGACGACCGACGAATATCTGGAGGGTGACATCACGGCGAATTTTACAAACGTTGCTCCGACATATGGCAACCTCACAGTTCGGGTACTCGTGAAGCCGTTCAGTAGATCGACGAAAACAAGGAGACCAATTACCTTAACCGACAACTTCATTGAGGACTATGTTCATGATGTAGGTTCCTATAACGAGTATATAATTTGGTATTTTATATAAGTTGCATTGTATCGTACCGAAACGTTCGAGAGAATGATAGGGCTTCGCCAAATACGCCTACCATGTCCACCTCGCTCTAACCTCTTATGACATAGATCACCAATGCAATAAATTTTTTACTACTTTCCATTAGTACATTTTTTCTCTAGACCATTCTGTTTGTTCTTTGAAAGTACTTCATTATACATTTTATCTATGTAACAACCATTGTGCACATTACAGTTTCGTGGCGCGTACCACTTTCAATATTCGTTGAAGCAGCTTGCATCGCTGGCCTATCCTTACCACCTGTCCTATTGCGAGATTGAGGTTCATGCAAGCATCGGCGAACGATTCATTGATGTCATCGTGGACGGCTTCTCCAAAGCGCGCATTGTCAACGACTCAATCACAATCACTATCCTTGGCGATAAACCGCTCATATTCAAGCCTCACATGGAGTTTTACGTTTACGTAATACGTCTACTTAACTGCAATATATATTACCCAAAAAGATGCACGGATATTTCCTCGATTAACAGATGATTCAAAATTCAAGCTAACGGGAAGCTGGGTCGAATGTGTAATTGTCCGTTAGTAGTTCTACAAAGGCCTTATAGAAGTTCCCCCTTTTCTATTTGAGATCAAAGACGTGTCCCCGTTGGCATTATTTACAAATTATATGTTGATGCTCGGAACTGTGTGATACTTGCAGCTTTTTGGACCAAAACGAACTTCTACAATCTTCAATCGGTTCGCTTGTGAAATGATACGAGCACAACAACCTGAGTAATTTCGACAGTAAAATATACAACTGCGTGTGTCGGCAATCGTAATTTTGGCTGTACCTTTCAGAGCCGAGTCAATTCAGGACAATTATTAAGCCTTTTCTCGATTTCAATTAGTACATGATTGAAGTTTTGAAGGTTCGAATTGTGGTTCCGTTCTTTCGTTGTTAGCGAAGCTCTACTCTGTACAACACTTTAGTGTATTTTTCACAACTCCTAAATGCATGTACACAAAGAAAGGTTGAATCTATTGAGTGCTTATATAGGGTAGCACATTGAGGCACTTCAAAACAAATTATGTAACAAATCAGTGTGAGGCGCGGCTTTCCTAGAGAATCCTACTGCGCTCACTATAATTTATAATAAAAAATTCCCCACCCCCCACCCCCATATTAGAATGTTCAATAAGCTAATTAATATAACTGTAGCAACTTACTATCAAATCATCTAAGCAGTGCTTATTATATTATTGTAAGTGCTCTTGAAGTTCTTCGCACCATTAACATGAGACAGTGACCCACTTTTGTGGCGAAGAATCATGCTACAATTATCTGTTTTGGTTAGTACATTATAAAATCTAAATGCACTCATTGGTTGCAGTTGTATTGTCTCATCGATATTCTAAGATTCGACTCCGTTTAGTAACAGACGGAATGCTACTTTCTAGGTCCAAGTAAGTTACCACGATCAGGTGAAACTACCCGAAAAGGTACTGAACGATGGAACAATCAGCGTAACATTAGTTGCTTCTGGGGACTTTGGTCGTCTTGAGATTAGTCACCGAGACCATAAACTCGATAGTAATGGAGTGGCAAAAATAAGAGAGCTTGCTCCTGATAGGACAGAACGTATTTATATTCAGGTAAGGAAAGCCGAAGTGCTGTCAGAGATCATATGTTTTGATGACCTTTTGTTGTAGCAAGAAGACCATGACAGGACTGGCTAAGGCTCCACGATTAGAATGCAAAATTGTCAGTTCTTATTTGCCGGCCTGAAGAGTTGCTGCCTAGCAGTCGGCGACAAACTAGATTCCTATGCCTAACAAGGCCATGCACGTTTTGCCGAAACAATTTCGCCTGCCAATTAAGACTGCATCTACTGATCGTAATATACCCTTGTAGAATCTCACCAGAAACGCCCAAACTACAGTTTAATAAACTGTTCATTTCAGGCCGTTTTCCATTTAGAGGGCGTAGCTGTTGCGGCCGCCGAAGAACGAATGTTGGCTTATTATAGGCAAGATAACCGACAGCTTCAAGTTACCACAAGTACTACGGAGGGTGTAGTAAGCAAAACCGGATCAACTTATAAAAATCTATTTTTCATCATTGGCATCATTTATAGCTTTACCTTGTTCAGGCAAAGAACGTGCAGGCAAAATGAAGAACCTTTGCTGTCGAAGGACTACAAGCTCTAAATCACACATGACCTAACACGGTATTTGCCCATTGCAGGCTGGAGAATACGCGATCTTGCACGTGCGATCCAATTTCTTCCTTAAAAACTTTTATTACTTGGTAATTATTGTCTTGTGAGCTTTGCTTGTAGATGTATTGATGCTAATTGGAGCTAACTGAACCGTTCGAATCCTTGCAGCTGTAGTGCTTCTTTGAGCGTTGTCTAAGTTGGTTTCAATTGTCCTTTCTTAAGGAATTGTTTCTTCCTAAGCTTCGCGATATTTTACGGTTCATGCTATACATAAAGTTTCAACTTAATTTCCAATTCAGACCATTTCGAAAGGGGCTGTCCTTCAGCAAGGCCGTATGGCCGTCCATGGTGTGGACCACACAGTGACATCGTTAGCCATTCCCCTCAGTGCCGAGATGGCACCCTCACTTCGAGTGGTCGTCTACGTTATTGAAGAGAAAAGTTATGAAATAATAGCTGATTCTGTCACACTCCCGGTCCGCGGCATCAACCGAGGAAATGTAAGTACATCACGAGCGCACATATCGCTAAAACTTTGACAGCACTACACGATACATAATACATATATGTTTATAGCTTTAATACGCGTTTTGCAGAACTATGTCTTAAATAGCAACGAACAAAACGTTCCGTTAACTTCTAACACACGTAGATGCCAGAAACGATTGTATCGGATCTATCGAGCATTATCTACAATAGAGAGCTATCTATCTCTTTTGCTAGATCCAAATGGTTTAGCAAACAACCTAAAAAACACACGCCGCTAACCTTGTCTATGTTGGATTGTCTTTGTATAATGTATGTTTTACATTGCTCAAACATTTTTTCTACTTTATGGTTTAGTTATCTGCTGTAATGGCTGCCTACGTACCAAACGCCTTAGAACGTGCGTATTTCTAATTTAGCCATGATCGTATTTAGCTCTGATGCATTTAATAGTAAAATAAAATGCGTGTCCAAAATGGCATATTGCTTACCATCATTATATGAACGAGATGCATGTATATGTAAGCGTTGAATTGAGACAGATTTTCGTGGACTGTTTTCTACAGTGGAATCGCAAATTGATATGGCATTTGTATGGTGAATGACGATGTGTCGTCTTCGAAACTGAAGCACCGGGTACGCTTCTGCAGAAAAATTAGGTTTTATAACGGCACAGGGGACCGTGCGCGACAGAAAAGACACACGTCCAGTGCACATTTAACGGTTCTTCTTTGTAGGTCTAGACGTTGCTGCACAAATCTGGCATGAGTGAGCGTACGATGTATTTACAAAGGCCCAGAGTAGATGTCGTATGTCATAGACGAAAGACAGATGAAGGCAATCCAATCAAGAGACCGATGCTGCTAACTGTTCCCTCGGCGATAATTTTTTTATCCTTGATTGCAAAAATAAACCGCCGACATTATTCTTAGTTTTCTCTCGACCTAGGGGATGTGCCTATTTTGAACAGATATAAATCAACTAACGTTGGTGTTTTGAGTCTGATGTCGAGAGAAGGATGCACCATGCCATCATACTTATTTCTGAAACGCGAACGTCACTAAAAAGTCTTCTTCGGTTGTTTAAGCTGTAATATCTGTAAATAAACAACAGCTGTAACAAATGTAAATAAACCGAAATCTATGGCAAAAAATTATACGTCGTTCATGAACCCGTTCATAGAAATCCATCAATACAGAGTCAGCTACTCGCACATATAGCAGCCGAATAGCGTAGATATGAATCCGTAGAATTCTCATGTATGGAACATTATTGAGTCGGTATCTAATACGTCTTGACATAGCAACGTTGGCTCACTTCACTATTTTTTTTTTAAATCAAAAACCCGTTTCTAGAACTACCGGGTTATTGATCCATATCAAAACTAAGGCCATGGGAGTGACTGCGCAACGAACGGAAAAGGTGCAAATATGTCGATGCAAAGGACCAAAAAAATATGGGGCGTGCAATAAGAACTTCCCCCATTTGAAGTTTAGGAAGGCGGCTTTAATGACGTGTGACTTTTCGTTGTGATAGAGCGAGCTGATCTGAAGTTGTCTGCTGGATCGTTTTTCGTGAATAGTCTGCTTTACTCGACTCAATTGGCCAACTATACGCGCAGATCAGTTGTCCGGTTCGGTGAATCAGGCCCTTACGCTTCCGCCAAACGCAAAGCATCGACTTTTTCTAACGAAGATATACTCAAACTCTGGGTCTTGGTTCCTGACGTTACCGATTCCAATCACTTGTTTATTTTAATATCGATGATAATTCTGTGTTAAAATTGCTCATTACAGCCGCTTAATACTCGACAGCGCGCAACAGGATAAAATGCAATGCCAAGCTGTACTCCCTTGTCGAATTTAGAGACTTAAAGAAATATCTAAGCCCTAGAGTTTTCTGTAATTCCAAGAGATTTGAAGTAGCTGACGATGGTGTTCTCATCTTTTCTACCAATTTTCAACTTGTTTGTCGGCCTTCCTTCTTCAAAACTGCTTTATATACTTAACTAATACAATTGGTCAGAGCAGAGGATTTCGGATACCATGTGAAAACCACTTCTGATCAGCCCTTTCAATGAAAACATCGTCGCTATACGCACAGCGAATGTCCCAGACTGTTCTAGTAGCGTGTCGGCTATTGCACGGCAAAATGCATAGTATACAATGTGTTGAAAAATACTTCTTCATCTAGAATTTGAAATGGCACCTATAACATAATACTGCTAAGCACGTACTAGAAGCAGACAAATAAATAAGGAAAAGTTGTAAAGAAAAATTGTGGAATTTATCAGATGAATCGAAGAAATATTCATTTGCGTTTTTTGTATTAGTTCCGTGTTTGGATTAACAAGCAGCAGGATCGACGCGGAGATTTGGTCGAAGTGGTAGCTGATTATACAACAGAAGCTATTGTCTGTAGTACCAGCCTTGATACGGATCTTATAGCGAATCAAGGTCGTAACGACATAACGCCAGTAGAAGTCATTCGAGCTTTACTGCGAATGGAGACCAATGGAACGCAACTTATTGGGGGCATAGCTAAGGATCGCAACGGAGGACCGGATGAGATTTTCTTCTATGCGACGCTCAACGCTGCTCCTGATGCCAACAAAACTTTTGACGTGAGTACAAGTCTCCTTCTGTATATAAGTTAATGCAAGTTCAACGGATATAACGATGCATCGTATTGTAACAGGCTCAACATTTTGACAACGTCCTATTGCTTTGTACCTTTGTGTATCGTGGGTAATACCGTAACATAATGAGTGCCTACGTTGTCGCCTATATATATAGACTGCCACTAGTGGACTGAAAACACTAGCAAGTCTAGAGCAATTAGAGCAAATAATAAAATACTATTACTATCAATAAGATAAAATGGTTCACTGAACTTTATGCGTATGACGTTACCAAACAGCCCGAGGCAAACATACAGTAGATGTATTCCGTTTTCCTACTGTCAAATATTCTTTTTTCGTCTTCATTTATTCTTCTTTCAGTACGCTGGTTTGGTTCTGTTTACCAATCTGGTATTGACCCAGTTCTACGATGAGACCTGCAATTCTAGTGATAGGCTCGCATGTCGCACAGGTTCCCAGTGCTACTTTGTCCGAGAGAGGTAAAATGCATAGAAACGTTTATATATATATATATATATATATATATAAATGACCTTCGTCGAGTTGAGCCTAATTGGGTTTCTATAAGGAGCCGAGTCAACAGCTTTAGATTGATTTGCAGAAGCAAAGCTGAAGATAACTACATATTTTACTAAGGCAGGGTTTCCCCATTGTTAGTATACCCAGACGTCCGCAGTAACATCAGACAGCCAAAAATACAATAAAGAATTGTCTTTTTTTAATTCGATTTAAATCACCCTGCAAATATTAGCACTCTGCTATAGGAGAGATTTTCTTATTTTCCTGAATACATATTTGTTATATTCTTGGGTTTATTTAGGTGTGACGGCCTGCGCAATTGTGAAGACGGTTCAGACGAATCCGGTTGTGGAGATTTGCTTCGGGAAGACGAAGATTCATTTCTGTTTCACGTGTTCCGTCGGAACCGATTTAACAATTTCTTTGATGCGACCGGGTCTATGTTTGGGTACCATGACATCTATATGGGGTAAGAACGATCGCGGAGTTGTGTTCGTGTTGCGCCATCGTCAGTGAAATTAGGGGACAATCCTTGGTGCGAACGCGAACTACATGAGTCACAGAATTCGGTTTTACCGGCTTCTGCAGAAAAGCGACCCTTGTAATTAATAACGAAACACATTCTTACTACTATCATTGTTATGTTAAAAAGTAATGAGGCTTTTTCCTCATTGGATTTCTAGGAATCTTCGACAAATCTTTACTAAGACAGAGATTCCTAAGGCTTCTACGTTGTATCACGTAAACGCGATCGCCATCAGCAAGGAGTTTGGTTTTCAGGTCCTGAAAAAGCCTGTGCTAGTGAGTGAATAGAGTATTGTTATTATTATTATTATTACATAATATTTCCATGGTAAACGCCGAATGTTTAGTTACGAACATTTGACCGAAGGCAGCATTTACGCGTACCAGCGAACTAACAATGGCTATATGAATGTACCGTATCGTATGCCAGCATGATAGTACCCGTCCATTCTTCATGACCACCGAAGCTCCTACCGAGGCTGTCTATGGTGAGCAGATTGGCATACGAGTCATTCTATTCAATTATCAGCACTTTGAGATTCAGGCCGAGCTGATTTTGCACGACTCTGATGACTATCGTTTCGTTCATGTTGAACCGTTTGGTGTCGTCCACACCTATTCGCCCCGAACAACCCGTGGAGAGCACCAGCATGTTGTATTTGTGAGTATATTTCGTTTGCCACCCTCAAGAAACCCTAGTCAGTCAGAGTAGGCCAGTAATGAATTTGCTCAATAATTATTACTCTCGTAAGGCTTTCTAGTACGTGTGTGCTCCTACCAGAAATAATGTGACATATATACTTCGACCTTCGTATCGCAGATTAAGGCGTGGCAGCACATCATTATCCACGTTCCTGTGGTGTCGACACGTGTCGGGGAGGTCACGTTCAGACTGACAGGACGTACACAGGTGGCTAATGAACAAGCGGAAATTACGGTGAACTTTCTGCCCGATGGCGTTGGTCTGCAAATGCATCTGGCTATGATGTTCGACATGCGAGCGATTAGCAAGAATCTGAAGTACTTCGACTTCAATATTACCGATACGCCGATTATACCGTTTAACGAGACGCATAGAAGATACATGTTTGATTCTTGTAACGCAAGAATATCGGTCATCGGTAGGGCTAATCACTATCAACAATATCTCAATCTGAAAAAAAGTTTATGCTGCTTTGCGGCAGTTGTTATTATGATAATTGATCGAAAATATATTCGAACGTTAATTATCTGAATTAAATAGATTTCCTAGCTTCTTTATAGCAGCTAGCTGGTAGGCCAGCATTGCATGATTCGTTGAGCTGGCTCTACAATCATCGTTAGATGTTGACATTTCAGAGAGCAAAGGACGTGTTAGAAGGAGGATATTGTAAACATGTAACTTTTTTCTATCGTAAACTTGTTCGATTAATACTTATTAGGCATGTATAATGTACGATGTATTTTTACATGGCAACTATCTACAAGGGCGTATCGTTTATTGCCAAAGGTGACGTAGTGGGCGCGAGTTCTGTCGATATTCCCGTACCTCTCGAAGAATTCGGGTTCGCCACAGGAGTCCAATCTGGTGAACATGCGTTATTTGACTTCGGCTATCACCTAGCTGTACTACATTATCTGCGACTCACCAACCAAATGAATCCAGATTCGTCGAAGAAATTGTTTGACCATTTAAACAAAGTCCTCGTCGACCAGATAGGCTATTTTCAGGCTGGCGGTTTTGCCATGTACAAGGGCGAGCCTAGCGTTTGGTATGTACACGGTAACTTGAAAGGTTTCAGGTAGTCTTCATTTCCATTACGTCTAGGTGCAACTAAAGTTCAAGTAGCGAGAATCTGTGTTAATAAAATAGAATTTATCTAATTTGCTCTAACTTTTGTTTACAGGTTGACAGCCCTTGCAGCGAAGATCTACCATTCTGCAATCTTTCCGGATTGGGAGTATAAGTTCTTGTTTATTGACCCTGAACTCATCGAACGCTCGGTGCGGTTCCTGCTGCAGTGCCAAGATGCGCAATTTGGCAATTTTTATGAAGTCAGTGGTTTGTCACATAATCGGCGCCACAGAGCATTCGTGAGTACGCTAAATAAATAAATAACATAGACTATTTTCGATACCGTACTAATGGGAACTGATCTTCTGCAGTCTGTTAACAATATCAACATATATAACACGTAGCTAATTTTTTTTACTGGAATAATAAAAGTCACCACTACTATTGCTGTCACAATAAAAAACACAATTTTTAGTGAACTCTGTTCAAGTTTCGCATAAACTAACAGTTTTCTGATAGTCTTTACTGTGCTTCTGATTATCATACACGACAAACTATAGTGTATAAAATACGGAATCGATACTTCTGCCCTACAGATGCTGGATGATCGGCGTCTGATGCGCAATTTCCACAACGTCTCGTTAACTGCTCACGTTCTTATAACGCTTGCCAAAGTGACTGACACCATCACAGGAGTAAGAACTTAATCAGTATCCGTCTTTCGTGTCCGCTAATTTCTGCTATATCTACGTTTCTTGCATATACTATACACACATGATAAATATCGGATGTGTTCCCTTGGCGCTTTTGTTAGTATATGAGCAATTATTAAGGCAGGACGACATGTTTTTTCCAGCCGATATTGGGCGAGTTAGCGGTTGCTAAGAAGGCGGCTGTACGTTATTTAGAGGAGCACATGCCACGCTTACGAAATTCATCCTACCACATGGCCATCACAACGTATGCGCTCAAGCTGGCTGATTCTATTCAAGCAGAAACCGGATGGACGATCTTGCAAACCATGCGTCGTGAAACAGGTACACTTTTTCTATTATAACAGTAATAACAGTAATAGTAACTATTCATATTATCGTTATATCAGTATCACGTGGAGATGTGAAATTTATCGTCGTCCAAATTATGTCAGCGCCTTTTGGCCCTCTGATCTGCGTCATAATAAATAAACGGAACTTGATTATGTTAGGCTAAAATTCTAATTTTATTTGTTAATATATGTGTACAAGTTGAGCGTGAAATAAGCTGATTTATGTTAATGTTTACTCGAATTGAAAGGCACTATGCTTGCTCCTCTTCTTCTTTGTTGTTGTTTTTTAAAAAAGTTCTAGCTGTTTTGACGGAACCTTTCTCCGACTCCTTGCAGAGGGTATGATCTATTGGTCTTCAGTGGATATAGGGCCGGCCACGATCGTCTGGGAAGCTCAGCGACCCTTCTATTATGCAAATATGCCAGCCGAGGACGACGCGCTTGGTGTTGAAACAACTTCATACGCCCTTATGCTCATGATGGAGTTCGGATCCCAAGACGACGAAAGTCAGGTTGTTCGATGGCTGAACTGGATGAGATATACCGATTTTGGATTTGTTGGAACCCAGGTTAGTAAGAAACGTAAACGTTATCTCGTTTACGCCAGATAATATATGCGTACAAAATAAGCAAATTGAATCGTGATGATAATATGTGAGGCAGTGAAACCAGCATCCGAAACGTTGTGGCTAATCCATAAGTATTTATCTATGAGTAAGCATAAACGTTTGAATTTAAGTCGCTCTACATCGTTTGAATCCGGCAGGATACCCTATTGGCAATGGAGGCATTGACACGCTATTCCTTCCGGACGCATATTCGTGATGTAACCGATCTGAAGGTGTCAGTTCAGATAAGCTCGGTTCCTGGAACGTCTCGAAGCCTCTTCATTAATAAAGAGAATCTCGCAGAACGAAAATTCGTATCGGTAGGTTATCATCTCATCTCATCTCATCTCGTTTTATTACCCACCGCAGATATTGCGATTCGCTTATAATTTAAACACGTAATATTGGCCTTTATCTTTGCTAAATATCTTGCTAAAATATAACTGAAAAAATCGCAGTCGGGGACAATAACGAGCTATCGGGAAAGTCTTACCCTTGCAGGCAATTGCCACTGGCATAAATGACGGTCTTTTTCGTAACTCGCCTGTAAACGTGTATCAATCCAAGATAAAGATTTGGGGCTGATTTCAATGAACCAGATGCTTCACAGGGCCAAGGGACTTAGCATTACGGAAAATATTTCTAACAAAACAATGGAAAGTAAACTTTAAATGTATGGATTGCCTTGCCAGGAAGGACCAAATGTTTTCGGTCATGCGGAGGTTATCGCCGAGGGCGCGGGTCTTGCCATCGTTCAGATGGACGTCACGTATAACGTAGATCGGGACTATCTTCTCGTTCCCCCAGCCCAGGACGCGTTCGATCTCAAGATGAGTACTCGTTATTGGGGTCGTAACAAGTCGCATGTTGAAATTGAGACTTGTACAAGGTTAGTATTTTTATTAGCACCGTGCTATCCATTATATCTTCTGGTATCACTCAACGGCGTCTATATTTTATACAGTACCTAGCTTTACGCAAGACTGTATTGTCATCATATTAAAGTTGAGTATTAAACCAGCTAAGATTGAACGTTGTTTCGTGTTGATAGGGTCAAAATGGAGGCCGAACCACGACTTAAGATACAAGTTTATGGCCTGAGCCTGTGCCTGTACTTTTTCTAGATAAAAAAATGTTTTTCAAAGTATGTCAATATTATCGTGTTCTCTATAAAACCATTTTAGGTGGACTCTGACTCGTGTGGGAAACATGAGTGGTGCTGCGGTTGTAGAGATAATAGTTCCATCTGGTTACTATCACTACAGGCCTGTCATCGATCAATACGTGGCCAGTGGGGAGCAGCCTAGACTAAAAAGGGCCTTCCTCGCAGAAAGGTCGTATTCTCATTGTAAACAAAAAATATGTTTCATTATGTAATATGACATGTTGGAGACAATAAAGATGCATTTTGTTACAACGGAGTTCACGAGTCCAAACGCCATGCTCGTAATAATCGTAGAAATAAGAATTCACTTTACGTAGTTAACAAAGTTCAATTATGTAAAAGGAACTAATCTTCATCGAATGTATTTAATTTAGCTGCTTTAATCTTTGGCGGCAGTGCTTCCTTTTATAACTAGGTTTGATTGAGAGCTCTATCTTTCCTAGACTTAGTGAGTAGCTTTCCCCCTAAACCACTCTATATAGTATAGAATTAGGTCAGTTCTACATGATCTGCGCGCAAAAATGTTCTTCTGTTTGCTGCACTTCAACAGGTCGGCGGCGTTCATGTTCGATGCGATTCCAGCTTTTCAGTGGACGTGTTTCAAGTTCCAGATGCAACGATGGTTTCCTATTGCTAATTCTTCAAGATACCTCAAAGCGAAGGTGTACGAATACCATGCGCCTGGTAAAAGCCGCTTTTCAACTTTCTCGTATATATATATATATATATATATATATATATATCTGAAAGCAGAAGGAGCTTGTGATATTTGGACGTGATAAATAAAGCACTTCTATATATATACATTCTTTTCCAGAGCAGAGAATTAATTTCACTGAACGTATGGGGGCATGAACGTAACTTTTTTTTAGTGCCCCCGGGTCTTTTTGCTCTGTGTATAGTTGCTTGTAATCACTTTTTCGATATGGAAACGATTTGCTTGCACTAGAAGGCCCAGCCCGATTGGGTTGGGTGTTGGATTTATGTGGGATTTCTTTAATCTAGCTATAAAATACGTAGTAGCCATTTTCTGAACGATGGCCATATTCATGGCTTCCAAATCTAAATGCAATGTTCAAAAATAATTATAGTCTAAGTTAAAGCAATATCGCGAAATCTTCAGTTCTGCTACAGTAGTTGCATTATGCATTTTGGAATATTCGTAGCATCTGGAAAATTGACTTAATGCTGATTCAACAAAGTGATTTAGATATGAAACATATGATAAGAGACATTTCTGACATCAGTCATATTTTGCAGAGAACTACAAGGAGAAAATTTTTGAAAACCGTGACCTGTGGGTGCTCAACATATGCGAAGTGTGCGGTTCTTATCAGTGTCCATACTGTCCATTCTTCAGCGGAACGAGCACCATCTTAGCAGGTCACAATCTGTCAACTGGAGGAATCATCATTTCTACTTATCTAATAAGTTGCCTGTACAAAAACGGTCTTATCAGCGGCATTCATGTAAATACTGTTTAGATCAATTCGCCCACGATCAGAGAAAGCTGCCACGAAGCATTCTATTTAATCATGATGTAGAGCGTCCTACGGCTGGCTGTGCTAAGTATTAGCTAACGCCTTAATGAAACGACGGCTAATGTAAGAGGTGCGCTAAATCAGTGCAGCAAAACGACCGCACGTACGTAAAAAGAGTTCACTGATATGGGGATGTACGCCGTATTTTACAAAAAGGGTTTGTTCCGAAAGAGAAATGCCATACACAGGGATACCATGCATCTACATGAAGTTCGATCAGATGACTTCGTTTATCGATAACTTTAACTGTGTGTACTACATATGTATGAATAAGTTATGAAGTTTAGGTATGTAATGAACTATAAAAATGGAAAGTTTTTTTAAAAGTGAACTGATTCGAGTAATATCACGTCTGTGAGTCGGAGGCGGATGAATGAGGTCCTGGTCGAGCTTTGTAAAGTTAGAGAGCCCAGCTAGCGTGCTTATACAGTTTTTACCGATTATGAAAGTGAGGAGCGAAAACCTTATTGCATTGTTATTGACACAAATAAACTGTAAATTGTACAAAAGTGATTATATGCATATTTATTTCTGCATATTAAATAAACAATTGTGTAGCCGAATAACACTATGCAGTTGATTAATAACTTAATCATAAAAGAAGACGTCAGTCTCTTAAAGGTAATACATTAAATCTGTCAATCAAGTGTTTTGTAGAAATAAAATTAGCTAGCAGATAACACAAAACAACAGAATTTGAATATTGGAGGCGAACTGCTTTATTAGCACGCTACGGAAAAAATAAAAAAACTACTGCTCGGTGGAAACTCAGCATCGAAAAATCTTCGGTGTATTAAAATAGTCGATACTGATGATGGAATGGTAGGCGCTGACAGTTCTGCTATAATTAACTGCTATTAATTAACTGATAATTAAGGCAACAGCTATTTATTGTCCTAGGTTAAAAAAATGCGCAATATAGCTTTTATCACGGCAGCATTTCTCAGAAAATCTCTCAGATCTCAATCAGCGGGAAAAAAAATGTCTTGTTCTATAGACATTGTATCTATAGCGTCGGCAGCATTGACATTAAGTAGTTTTTCCTTGTATTTTATCGCAAGAAAGCACAGTGCATCATTGCTTGAAAAAAAGAACCAATTATTCTTCATTTAACTAACAGTAGTGAAACGGAATCAGGGAACCCGTTATATTTACTATCTACCGAGATACATCATTCTACTCTGATTGGTATATCAGTTCCTTTGCTATTTCTGTGAAATCCAGTCGAGTCATTGACGGACCGCCTCAGCCACAGTAGAAGTCAATGCGTCCATTCTTCCCTCGCGCTGACGGAGAGAGCCGACCGCCAGCTGTTTGGCGCGAAGCCCTCTCTTGGTATTGCGTGGAGGCACATAGATCTCTTTCTGGGACACACACACTTGTCAATTCTGGAGAAACAGTGTTTTATGATATTCATTTTAGCTCATAACGTGAGTGTAATTCGGAATTTGTGTATGCAAACAGTTGCTAATTATGGATCTTGATAAACAGCTACTTGGGGCAAAGGTGAAGATCAAGACATGGGAGAAACAATTTATAAGGCTCAATCTTCGAGTTCCTGAGTCGGCGGACATAAAAACAGCTCCGGCCGATATTCGAGGTAAAAACCAGCGTGGCTTTATTTTATCAAATATAAAAGTATTAGAAGTATTTGTTGGACTGCTCTTAACTGGTAGATACTGAAATACACCCGGCAAAGCGCGCGTGATTTTAGCTGCTTTATTCTGCTTATACTTTGATGTTTCTAAAAAAAAGCTGTAGAGTTAAATTTATTCTGTAATTTACTGCCGATATAATATGCAGAAGTATTAAATATGTTTGTTGTTAAGCTTTCAGTTAACCTCATAGCTCATAGTCAAAAAATCTAGTTTTCGAACTATACATATCTCTAAGAAAACGTATGTAATTTTAGTGTGCTAAAGTATCTACGTTTATTGCATTCGAGACACAATTAAAACAAGGACCATAAAAACAAAAAGTTGTTTTAAACGTAAAAAAAAATGTTTTAAAGTAAGAAAGCTTCTAAACTTCACACAATGTTATGACGCGACAAAATTACAGTTAAAATATTAGAATATAGCTAGTAAATGGATCTAATTATTTGCTCTTGATTGTATTGATCTTAATTTGCATTCTTTCTTCTCGGTTTCATCGCCAGCCGCGTATGTGGCGTATTTCAGATATAAAAAGCGTCAATCCGAAGCGGATGTTGCCCAACGGCAAAGTAGTGATGACAGCGCTGAAGTTTGGGGTGAACACTTCAATGTCAAACATGTAGGAAACCCGTTAATAGAACCAGTTAATTAAATGTTCAAGTAACAGTTAGTCTAGTAAATAGTTACTAACAAATAACTATTTAGGTATTTCGTGCACGCAAACAGTAGACTGATTTGAGCTCGTTTACAGTATTACATTTTACTATTACGAAAGTAGATATATAATTAATCAATGGCTTTTTCTCGTTAAAGCTCCCCGGATCATAAAAGCTTTAAAATTATTTATTGTAACAGCAATGAATGTTTAAATTTCACATATCTAAGTATACATATTTTATAGCGTGAAGCGGGACAAAAAGCTTGGTCGACACAGGAACGGTTTGCCGACAAAATAAAGAAAACGGTATTAAGCGGAAGTCCTCTTTGGCGTAGCGGACTGGGGAAACAAATTCCATCGCTGGCGCCATGTCAAACAGAGAATGAGACCCCAGTGGCTATTGAAATTGTTAAAGAGCGTAAGGTTTCTTGTCATGATGGGAATCCCTCTGCAGCACAACTGGAAACGGTTAGGAGTTAAACTACGAAATTTACTTTATCCATTAACTTGACTAAAAATTATACCGTCCTGAAGAGTACTTTCTTCCTTTCCACAGAAAAGTCCAGCTTTTCTGAGGTAATGGTACAGATCTTTAAATACAGCTGTTTACAGTGATGGTCCGTGATTATATGAACAAGCTATTAAAAATCATAAAATAACTTTGTATTCGAGTACTAACCATAAGGTTATTATTAACTTTTCTTGATGCGCACGTTTCGCTTCTGTAGGGCCATAACTCCGGAGAGAATAATTTAACCGGGCAGTCGGTAGATAAACTTTTGGATCTAGATAACGACCTCTGCGATACTACACAGGCTGCTGACGAAGCGAACGATGCCGATACAAATAGCCCACCATTGAGAGGTATTGGAAGCCCCGTTAAAGCCCAACAATTGATGAAACATCGTGCTGTCTTTCTCAACAGGAATCTCAACGCTGATTGGTTAGAAAGAAACGCAGGTGTGCACAAATTAATGGTGTTTTTTTGATCTTTCACACATATTACATGTTTTTGATATGTACTAATGTTCGTCGTCGTCGTCACTGCCCTCTTCACTCCGTGCTATCGTATGTTGTCCAATTATAGAAAATGGACGCACAAATGTGTGCTGATTGAATGATCTCCATGAATAATAGTATTATTAAGAATAATAAAAAGTTATTTACTATGTATTATTATTTTTTATCTTGATGGTCTAAATGAATAATTTTACTTTGCAAAAGCTTGGTAAATTTACCACTGCTATAGTTATAAACAAAACTGATAACCGACAAGACAGAAAGTTTGTTTTTTTTAAAGATATTTCAGAGGTTTCTAAAAAACAACCGGAGGAAGTAACATCATCGATGAGTCCTTCGGCTGTTCTGGAAACAAAGATGATACCTCAAGCAGGGATCCGTATTAAGCTCAGTCAAATAAAAAACTTCCAAATCGATATAAAGTCAGCTTCAGAGGTGGATGAAGCCATTAAGAATGCCAAGGTACGCGTCGCTGTTAGATCTGTTCGCACGAAACAGTATATGGCTGCTATACGTGTGCGTCCGTTTTTAGAAACGTATTATTGCAAACAGTTATATTGGCATCGTCTCTCAATCTACCTCAATGGCTGGCAAGGTTATCGATCGAAGACTATCCGCCAGAAACGTTACAATAATATGCTATTTACTTAGGAAAAGCTTATTGAGTGCCACCGTCTATTGCAGCAGTTCATCGCTAACCAATGTTTGCTACAGATGTTTACCACACAGGTTTACTAGGAACTTGGTAACAATCAGTTTTTGCATAGACTGCTATGTGTTAGGCATATACTAAGAGAATTTAGACATCTGGTAGAATAGATGCTATGTATTCCAGTAAAAAATGCTGCCCAAAAAGTTATAGGCTACATTATCCTTCTTTTAGAATTCTTTCGCTTTATTATTGATTTTAAACATTTCTAATTAATAAGAATTAGAAACGTTTAAAAAACTTTAATCATTTTTCCATTTATAGTGTATTTTAACATTCTGCTCATTGCATTTTGAGTAAAGTCATATCATCCATATTGCTGCAGAACGCTACAATAGCTGGACACTCCGATGCAGAGCTCGGTGAAACCCTTGAAAAGCAGGAAATTCGGCCAACGGACGACGTAATATCTTTCGAAGATGAGTTCGCACAGCAAATGAAAGGCCGTTCTGATACCGCGAATGTCCGTCGTATGAAGACCCATCATAAATTCAATGCTCAAACCAAACCAGTAGAAGACGCTGTTTTAGACAAGGAAGAAATTGTTATTGATTGGAAGGTCGTCGATCACGACTGGCAAGACGACATCGAGCTTGAAACCGAACATAGTAAGTCGATAACTAAGGTCGATATCAAACTAACATTATATTCAACGCACGAATACCTCTTACAAATAACAACAAAAATAGTCCTTAGTCTTCATGGCGCATTAGTAACTTGTCGAGAGGATAGGATGTGATATAAAAAAAATTAAATGATTATATATTGCATTACACTCTCATGTGTGCTTTGTGTGTATTCCTTTCGATGTATTTGTAAAAGGTGAAACGCCACAGTATGGCATGGTAAATGGTGTGAAAAAAAAACTCTTTTAGCCATTGCGATCTATAGTAGTACAAAAGAAGATTATCGAGTTCATATATCTTATTTTTCCAGCCCCAAAGAGGCAAGGCAGCAGGATAATGGAATCGAGCTTAGAAAATCGCGAGGACAACGGGACGAACGAAGATAACAAACGAAAATTTATTAGTGCAAATTCCCCTGAAAAGCACATAGGAACCCCTGCATCTCGAAATATCTTGGACCCGTTTCAATGGAATGAACAGGAGCGTCGAGATGAGTCCACAAATCAGCCTGTGCGGCAACTTTATCCCAAGTGTGTACGATCTATGATAAAAGTATGCGTATGCGTATGCGTGTGTGTGTGTGTGTGTTTATGTAGAGTTTATGAAATTCATTTGAGCGTGCTTATGTAATTAGTGTGGTTTAGCGCATTTACGTTCCTTCCAGCGTACGGGACTCGCACGAATATATTCGACCATTTTCAAATGTAATCACGTACTGTCGTCTTTATTTTAGAGAAAAAGTTCGCGTAGCAGAAACAGACAAGGCTGATGTTAAGGAACTTCGAAAGAAGGGAGTAAAAGTTCACGCTTTAGCAAAGCGGCAACTGGAAATTAAACCACAGAGAACCAAAACTAAAAAATTACCGCCTGAAACAACCTCTTCAGTAAAAATTGGACGAAAGCGTGCTCGGAATACCAGCGATGATCTTATTGGTCAAAGCGAGGAAGAAGTAGGCCAATCATTTTTTTTTTCATTATCATTCAATAATATCTATATAATATAACAAGTCAATATCCAAATGATTCATCGTCAGAAAAATAGACTAAAGTAGATAGTGTATGTACATAGAGAATGACTTTCTGCGTTTACACACCTGTATACCATTATACTTCTTTTTAGCATGTATGCGCTTTGCAGATTGTTAGGAGGTATACTGGCGCTGAAGGCAGCGAAAATGAAAGTCAGTTGATTGACGGAGCGGTTAAAAGAGCCAAAATGTCAGTGAAGTCACCTGATGACTATGAAGAAGATTGTTCAGGCAGTGTTAGCTCAAAACCCATAAAGATGACTAGCATAGAAAGGTGTGTATGCTTTTTTAGCTCTATTTAGCGTACCACATCTGCAAAAGGAAATCTCTTTAATCTCCTCTATTTCATATTTAAGTATTGTCAGGCTTAAAAACTTATGATCTTAGCCAGCCTGAACAATTTTAAGCCAATTGTGAAGTTGACGCCGATCATCCTGCCACGACTGCATTGTTGACACCTCACATATTAAATGATGAAGGTAGATCTATAACGAGTTTTCCATAGAAAATTTGGAAGTATCCGAAGACATGTCAAGATAAAAAAAAGGGTAATGCATAATAAATAAATTGTACAAATGTATTGCGAACAGAGTAGCTAGCTTGCTTGTAAAGTCAGACCACGATACAACTTCCAGACGTGATATTATTACGTTTTCCAGACGAATGACAAATGGTACATTGAACGAAAACTTCGTTAAAGCCAACCTTCGTAAAAAAACGTACTCGCGGGGTTTGAAAAAGCTCAATTTTAAGAAGTATAAGTTCGAACAATGGAAACAAGCAAAACAGGAAAGTCAGAGCGGATTGTGTAGTTGGGGTGAACCTGATAATGACGTTCGTATGAGCAAAGTGGAGTGCTTCAAATGCGGCGGCTTTGGTCACTGGGCTAGGTAAGTGGTGTTAATACCACCATAGTAATTATCTACGAATTAATCTTCATACAGTAGGGAGCACGAATAACGACTTTATTAAATGTCTAGAAATAGTTAACCTTATAACGCGTACTTAGTTTTCCTTAGCTTTTGTCCTATATAATCAAAGATCCTATTAACCGAATACTTGCTAGCGATAGAAATGGCCATATCACATATCAGCGAGATAGAAATCGCAACTACCATAAAGCACTTGATTCTAATGAATTATGAAATACTCGAGGCGGGAATTCATTAGACATACCGTTTTGAGACAAATGCACAATTTGTTACCGGCTTGAACAGCGAAACACGTTAAGGACGACTAGTGAATCGAATTTATGTTTACTGTTTGCCATCGATAATGAAGGTACTGTGTTTCGAAAGCAACATCTGCTCAGGAGGACAATGAGCCTCCAGAAGAGATTCATATCCCGACGCTCGAAGAAGCTGCAGCTCTTGCGAAAGGTATCCGGAACGCTGAACCAGTACAGCTTACTTCGCCTAAACAAAACCAGCCAAGTACGTCATGACGCTATACCAATGTTAGCTCATGTATAATGAATAGCTTACTAGATTCGGATCATCCTAGCAATGAGATAGATTAGCATTTTTTTAGGGCGGCCCAAGACACTATACGATGTAAAGACAAACATAGTCTTCACAGAGATAGCCTCACACTGATAACTGTGTATCCATTCGATTAATTTTAGCCTCATCAAGAGTCGCCTCTACACAAGGGTCCGCGGTATTACGACTGTGCGTTGCTGAAGCTGCAAAACTTGATTCACATGAATTGTGCTCGTCTGAAGTTAAAAGTAGTCAATTCGAAGTAGACGAAACGGAGGAAGAGATTGAACAAGTGATGTCACAAATTCCTCTTGATTATACGAAGAAAAACGATACCACAGACGGCAAAAACCAAGGCGAGGACGCTCGTTTTAAGACCATTGTACCTCTTGAACCGATCGATGGTTTAGAGGTAAAAAGGTATCTACACGAGCTAGGATTTCAAGAGTTCCGTCCCGGCCAAGAAGCTGTTGTCAACAGGATACTTAAAGGTTTGTAGCTCGTACTAAACAAGCTACGTGGGAACTGAATGCAACAGCAGATGTGCAAATTGTGTTTACTTTGGCAGGATTCGGTAAATCAGACGAATGAGGCGCGCAGTTATCCAATGCAAAAGTACGTTCACCTTAACAACAAAAAGGGTGTACTGTTGATCACTCTATGGTATTTTAAATCAAATGCAGTTAAATTATATATTACGAAATCCCCGACGATTTATATCGTATAGGTAATGTCTTGAAGGTAAGATGTATAAACATGTTTTTTACACGAAGTTTATGATGAATGTTATATGATGTGTATAATATAGGACAAGGGTTAAGAGTTAGACTAACCAGAGGGAAGCCCGTTTACCAACACGCTTGTTGAACGTCTTCTTCCGTGGGCTTCCCAGAACAGTTATGAACAAAAATTGAATTCAGTTCGAATTAATAGAAACACTATAAGATCGTACCTCTTTGCAGTGTAGATCTTATCTTTGCCTTGGTATTTCAGGTCAGTCAACGCTTATGGTGTCTTCAACTGGTTCCGGTAAATCGCTGTGTTATCAGCTGCCAGCGTACATTTACGCGAACAAAATGACTTGTGTCACCCTTGTGGTATCACCGCTAATTTCACTGATGGAAGATCAGGTCACAGGCTTGCCCGGCAAACTGAAGGCTGTGTACCTTCACTCAGGAATCACACCGCAGCAGCGCGAAAAAACAATTGAGCTTATCAAAGAAGGACAGGTTAGTAGTTTTATGTATGTAAATTGTTTTAGAAAATAAATCTTATTTGCCTTGTCAAGATAGTATTTTGAAGATGGTTCTATAATCGTATGTTGTTGCAAAAACTGCTATTTCCTTTACGCTTTTTTGTTGTTATTATGTTCCCCATTTTCAGGTATGATACTAAGAACTTTCGCTAATATGTTACCTCTCGACTATTCATTTGAAAAGCGACCATTGGATTTCTTGCAGGTCTCTATTTTACCAACGCATTTAAGCCGATTATTTGTGCTCTCTAGGTTCATGCGGTCTTGGTTTCGCCAGAAGCTGTTGTTGCTGCTGGCCAAGGCGGTTCTCTTTTGGCAGGTCTTCCACCGATCGCATTCGCCTGCATTGATGAAGCTCATTGCCTCTCTGAATGGTCACACAACTTCCGCCCATCTTACCTTCAACTCCACAAGGTAAATGCGTTATATACATTATTTATAAAATAAAAATGTTCATAAGACAAACGTATATACCTGTCAACAGTACTATTGATAATTGAAAATGTTGGTAACGACCAATAAAGCCAATCTTCATCTGATAGAGGTTTGTAAGGTTTCGTTAATTTAGGAACGTGCTGTTAACTCACAGGCTGTGCTCCTTGCTCAGTGACATGATTTAATTTTGTACTTGATTAAGGTGTGTTAAGTGTTCCTCGTTGATATAAAAGTGAGGATCCTAAAGGGAAGAAAAATAAAATCTTACAAAGTACACGTCTATTGCTAGTACATGGCGCAAACTGATAAGAACAAAAACGATTCGGTTGTTACGGCTGCTGGAGTCACAAAATATCAAACTCCTACGTAGACTAGTACATAGACTCCAGCTAGTGTTAGCCGTTAGAAAAGCCAATGTTCGATTGACAAAAAACGTTTATATGAACGTGCTTGAGATGGATGAAGCGCCACATGTATGTTCATTTTTGATTAATCGTGCAGTTAATCAAAATGTACGCGCATGTACAATAAAGGAAGCAATTTATGCTCATTAACACTAGACAAAATACATACTTTGGTTGAAATACATAATGCTCAATTTGGTCTTACGCAGCAGTAGCATCAAGCGTGCTTACTCTGATGGCTGTCATGCTGAGTCTATCGAAGAAACTCAGCCATCGTAAGGTCTCAGCATATCATACGGCATTACGCCAAATCAATTCTATAGAAACAAACCGAGAAATTTAACAAGCTCGAGAAGAGGCGCAAGCCTTTCAGCGCCGTCTACGGGCACCTTTGGGATGCATAACAGCTCCTGCACTGATGACATACAGACGATTTCTTTTTTTCATGAAATTAGTTAGAGAGTAGTTAGATAGAGTTTCTTAACTTGTTTTATCAAAAGAAGGCCGCAAGTATCATACAATGTTACTCTATTGGAGTACGCAGAAAACAAAGACAAAAGACAAGCCATTTGGACATAAAACCAAAATCGTGAAATGCTACTAGTTTTAGTAATATTACAAAATAATGATTACTTCATAAAGGTGCGTGTTTTTTGACGATGGAGTTAAAATAATTCCGCAACTTACCTGCTACGTTTCACTTTATCATCATTGTTCGAACCGGTCGTAACGACGCAGACGCTTCGTGAGAGACTGGGTGTCCAATGTGTTTTGGCGTTAACGGCTACAGCTACAAGATCCACTTGTAAAGATATCGCTCACCACCTACAAATCGACCAAGATGGAGTTGTCGGTTTGTTTAAGCTACCGGACAACCTCGTGCTCACTGCCTCGAAGGAACTGGATAGAGACAGGGTCAGTTATTACAGCATTGTTGTTATACATGATATATGAGGAAGTTATTATATATATTTTCTTTAACAAAGTGGAATTAACGATCTCGCTGGACTTCACGTCTTCGGATATTTTTCCGTTCTAACTGAACCACCGTCTCATCTGCAGTCATATTTGCAGGATATACCTTCTCTTAAAAGCAACTAGGACAGAACAAAATGAATTTTATATGCATTTCAGGCTCTGATCAATCTATTTAAAAGCGAGCGTTTCTCATCATGCAACTCTATCATCGTTTACACAACTCGAAGAGACGAGACGGAACGATTAGCTGCTCTCATTCGGACGTCGATGCAGGACAAATTAAGGTAACCAAAAAATACATATTTCTTCTTCGTAGTTGGTTCCGTTACGAATTTAAAGCGTCTAGGTTGTAGCCTCATGTATACTTGCTTAAACAAAGGGGTCAACAAAGAGTTCGCGGCTGTGTATTGATATGGCATTGAATTATAAAACCTCGTACATTTTCGAAGGCTAAAATGTGCTGATTTTTTCGCAAATATAATAAAAGAGACTTTTTAGTTTATACTTACGCAGATCTGTTTCTCTACAGAACAAATGAACAATTGGCCAAAATGAAGCGACAGCGAAATAAAGCTCGAGACGTCCTTTGCTGGGATGCTGAGGCATATCACGCGGGACTTACGCCAGCTAAGCGAAAATCTGTTCAAAACAAATTTATGAGAGGCCAAATTCGCGTAGTAGTAGCCACCGTCGCTTTTGGAATGGGCATAGACAAAGCTGATATACGGTAAGCTTCAAAGTTATTACATCTTTCATGTGTGAGAGCAATTCAGGTATGGTAAGATGCACCAGAAAAATAATTTTTTTCTCTACTATTGTTGAGGGTATTTATTCTTGTCGCTGTCGGTGTATAGTAACGGTGAAATAGGACTAAAGACAGATGTATAGTCGTTTTACGCGCGAAAACTTTATTCGGTATATATCGATGTAAGTCGGTGAATGTCTAAGGTGTTGAATGCGTTTCAATTTGTGCAAACTAGGAGACAACCGTAACTATAACTAGCATTTTGTCGACAGGGCGGTTATTCACTATAACATGCCAAAAAGTTTCGAGAATTACGTTCAGGAGGCCGGTCGAGCAGGACGAGATGGGCAACGAAGCGACTGTCATTTGTTCCTCGAGTTCAAAAACGAAGACAGAAACGATATCAAACGGTGCGTAGACCACCAAGAAATGTAAGAATAAATATGTGATCATTCCACAGACAGTACCATTTATAGCTGCTATGTCGCAGGTTTTGACCAAAAATAAAAGTTTTTTTTTAACTTTAGAAAAATGGTAGTATCGAAAATATAGAAGTATCTTATTCCCTTGTTGTATATGTATATTCTCTGCGCCATTTTGCAGACATATATTCGCTGACTCGACGGACCGGTTTGTACTGCGCAAGTTTTTAGAAAAGGTGTTTGAGCCGATGAAGCGCCTTAAGGACGCCATACACAAAATGCCTCACTATGAGGTGGCCCTCAATATTGAACAGATGATCGAGTACTTGGATATGAAAGAAGAAAGTGGGTTTTTATACTGTGATATAGTTTTTGAGCTTTATTTCGAAACTTTTCAAAACATACGTTCATTTCGTTAGCTAATAGGGTTCGAAATTCTGCTTGCTAGGCACTGCGTTTTTTCAGTCACCTAATCGTGGAAAAGCTATTGATACGTTTGACTACACGAATAATTAGAACGCGCACATGTGTGGTGAATGTTGTAATTGCTTATACAAACGTGCGTTATGGTTGTTTATGGTTATAACACACTTTACGTTGCAGACATACTCACTTTGATGTGCTTCCTTGAATCACATCCAAATAAGTTCATTCAGCTAAAACATAGGGTTTATGGAACTGCGACGGTGAAATGCTATGGAGGACCTTCGCAGTTTGCAGTAAGTTATAGAGCACTTAACTGTAATGTCACGTATATTCTAACGGTTGTCTCCTGAGAGCCAGTCAGAGAGCTGGAGGGAGTTTTAAATTAGTTACTAATAAAAACCACATTGACAGTTTCATAAACATAGAAAAACTATTATTACCATTTAAAAAGTTAAGTCAATGAGCTGTAATTATGAGCACAATATGAACAGTAACGGTCCTGCGCTTCCAGTCTGTGCGAAATCGGGGAGTCTAAAAAACAGAGCAATTGCACTAAAACCCCTATTTATTGTACGTGTTTCTGGACATGTGTAGATTAGATTTTATTCGCCGCGCAAGGTAAATATTCGGTAATGGTCTAATATCTGTTCATTTGCTGTCTCAATTCATCAGTCTTTGGTAAAAACGTCTCCAGCACTGGCTGCTGCTTTGGCTTTAAAGAAGAAATTTGGTGAGTTGAAAGATGATGAGAAACCCATGAATACGATGAGTTTTCCAGTGGTTGAAGTGGCCACTTTTATGGGCTGGGACTCAAGGCTGGTCAAAAGAGACCTCAAGAAACTCGAATGGGACGATTCACGAGTTGCCGCAGGTGGCTCATATCGTAAGACAGGTCAGAAGCTAGAGTTTGTTAGATTTCGAAATCTATGACATAGTAATTTTGCTTACTGGTGCCTACCTTTCATCTATCTTGGAGTTAAATTTTGAGCAACCTAATTTCTAAACAAGGTAAGACGTAACAAATTTTGCTCAATTCGTCTCAATCATCCTGAACAGAAAATAAGTTACGGAACGTTTTCCTTTTCCCTTTTTGTGATTCTGGCAGGTGTAATAGTTGAATTTTCTGATATATGCTTCCACCTGTATGTGTCATCCGATTTGGGTAACTTAGACGAGGACGAAGTGCTGGAATATCTTCTCGAACGAATTACAGAACAAGAAAAGTTACAACTTGAAAGGTTGACCAAAGTTTTCAGTGCATTTAAGCACGTTGCTTTTCAGTCAGGTAAGGCATGACCAACTGTGCTTTAACAAATAATATTAAACTATTCGAGTCACTTTCTAATGTAGATATTCATCAAAATGTCTTAGGTATTTTAAGAGATGTATGCACATGCACCCTAAAATATGTAGAAGCGGAAATGACATTCGTGCTTATTGACTAGGGGAGGGAGATGACGAAGTCGATATAGAGCGCAGTAACCGATTAAAATGGATCATTGAGAACTACTTTAACGAGGAACCTCTGGGCATTGAAGTGGATGAAGATTTCAACAAGGTAATTTCCGTTTCGACATAATTTGCAACTAGAACATAATGTAGCACCTGCATACTTGATCATTAGACAATAGATATTCACTTCGCCAATTGTAGATTTGCTTTTGTACACACATTTGTCGAGTCTATTAATTCAAATTTTAGCCGCACCATGCTACAAATTAAAACGAGAAATACTCAACGAGCGTTTAAGATTGAATCAGAAGTTGTCATTTTGGACGCGATTCTTAGGTTTAAATATGTGGTACGTTATGGCTCACATGGTCACACGTACAAAACGTAAATTAGATGGAATTGTTTTTTTCTCTATTTGACAATTTATCTATAGGCAAGTACTGAAGACATAGATGAGGACTACCTTCGAGGAGACATTCGATCACTAATTCACTCTCAGCCTGATCAAACTTTTACCGGTAGAGCCATCGCTCGAATCATGCATGGTATAGCTTCACCGAATTACCCCGCTCAGGTGTGGGGTCGTCTTCGACGAGTCTGGCGTAGTCATCTAGAAGTAGACTTTCAAACGCTCGTACGGATCGCCAATAACGAAATCGTTCGGTGGAGGTCAGGTATTAATAATAGTTAGTCAGCAAATCAATTAGGACCTTCATCCGGATTACAGTGTCTGCTTACTAAAACTACTTGATTTTACACATTGTTTTTTGAACCTATCCTTTCGCTCCAACGATATGATAAAACTAGTTGGTAGTTGTTATTTAACCGAAATACGTAGTGAAGTTCTAAGAAATGTCAATTTTTTTTTAACTGTATTTTTTCAATGCATTGTGATATGCTAATAGATAATTGAAAACAGTGTAGGTACGTATATCGTCCATACGAACCGCACATAATAATATGTGCGTTAATAAAAGATAAAAAAAAATGATAATTTCCTCATATATTTACCTTAGTATGTTTAGTTATAAGATATGATACTGAATTATCGGAACTATGGGTCTGTATACAGTGTATCTGAATGTGTATCTTAGCCAGTTAATGAGTATTTTTAAGCTAAAGTGAAGACGAACAAATTTTATTTTCTTCTCATTGTAGAGTATTTTGTATAAATAAAAATAGAATATTTGTGATGTGATTTTAGAATTTATCTCGAAGAATATGATATAGATCATTTCTAAAACCACATTGGGAGTCCCTGCGTACTCCCAAAGTATTGCTAATAAATGACAACAATAAGCACAATGTGTCTTGTTCTGTGTTTAGCTGGAAATTAACTGCTAGTTCAGGGTTCCACCAGAGAATGATTTGTATGACAAGACTTTTTGATTCCTAGCGCTAAGACTTATTAGACGCAGGTGATGATCAACCTAGAATTGGAAATATATGGTGCAATTATACATTGTGTTGTCTTAAGCGAATATCGGTATCGTCTACATGTAAAAAAACACTTAATATCAAACACAAGATACAAAGAGGACAATCCTTATATTGGCATATGTATACGCTATCTGTTGGCTTAATCTGTAATGATGAGCCAATTAAAAAAATCGTCGAAATGCCAAATTGCTTCAGTGTCCGAAATAACTCTATAACAAAGATTGCAGTGTCTCAAGATAGAACGGTGAAAAAATACCTTCTAATTTATCTTGGACAGAGCTTTTTGCCGCCACACGACGAAACTATCGAACATATTGGATCTATATAGGAACGGTATGGTGCATTTTTAAATGGCACGAGGTCGGCTAAGACATATATTATAAGAATCGTCAGTATTTTCTGATGCACACCTAGAACATCATCTCGCTCGTTCTGATCATATGTAATACCGGTGCACACCGAACTAGCGAAAACGCGACTGAATTGACGAACTTATTATTTTACAGTAGTATGTTGATAGAAAATAATAGGATAAAGCACACGTCTTCTGAGCAAAATCGACGATAGGGCAGATATTTCCATGACGAGCTTCAGCGTACTGAGCTAGACTACCGAAGCCAGCTAAAGACGAATTCGTTGAGATTCTCACACCAGCACCGTGCAAGGCGTTGCTTGATGTTTATAGCTCTGGACGAAGAAATTGTGTGATATTAGCCAATGTTAACATCTAAGTACCATTGATAGTTGTAGCCCTGTTTACTCGGGCTATAGTCAATATAATGTCGAATTTTTCATTGCATCAAGACCCTTGCGTTGCAGTTATTATTATTATTGCAAACAACCTAATACATGGCATATACACAATCAAACTGTTATACATACAGCCGTTTTTCTACCCTTTATGTACCGTTTGACCTGCGAGAATAATCGTTATTTGAAAACGGTCTTTATGTTAATTTTCCGAGCTGGCCACGGTAAATATGTAAGAATGAAGATTTGTTAATGTTATATTGTCTTCATTTGATACACATGATTTGCTGTTTTTCACAATAAAGTGACTGATTTACAAGCAGCTAAGTTAAAGAGATCCGTAGCGCGCTTTTTACAGATGGAAGCGCGTTTACTGCCCTTCGTTTTGCTTCAAATTTAGTAGCCGAGTTCTAGCTTAAACAGCACTGCTGAAGTTCCCCTTTCATTGTGTAAAAGGAACGAGCGCTGCGCGTCCAGCCGAATTGACTTTTGTTTGTTTTTGTAGCGACGGATTTGATGCTTTGTGCATCTCACTGGATGAAAATGACGCCACCCGGACGCTTGGGCAAGTGTCTTTATTGCGTTGGCAACTGGTATAACGCAACGCTTATAAGCTTCACTCATTGTCAGTACTGCCATTATCCATACTGAAAGTACGACATAATTATAGAAGAAGCGCTAAATTTCTATCGCTTCTGGAAGGTGTAGTTGATTCGATTGGAACAATTGCTGCTATAGGAAAGTGCTCATTTTTACTCATAACATCTCTAGCCTTGTTCCCTTTTTCGTTATGAATCCAACCCGTCGATGGCTGCAGTCATGTAATTGATGGTCTTCGTTTTTATACAGATGCATGTGATCAGAACTGGGTGCAGATTTCAAGTGTTACGTTCACGCGAAGACCTAGACTTGAATACGCTGATGTTTTTTCGAAATGAGGCAATCTGCTTTTGTGCGCATCACTTCACGATTAATATATAAAAGAGATAATTTGGCTCGTTTATTTCTTAAAATACCTTTCAGTTATTCAATTTCTTCAATTCAGAACAAAAGAAAAAACATTTTTATTCACAAAATACATGTTACCTAGCAGAACTGGCAATTCAGAACTGGAAAATTTATATTTTAGTTTTATCCTTTGCTACTATAACCGTAATATCCTCAGCCGGACGAAACTGCTTATTCCTCATTTCCTCCTGCATATCGAGCTTGCATAGAAAGTAGAAGCGGGATTTATCGCGTGTAAAAACGCTGATAGATTTTTATTTGAGAACTTGTGGAAACTCATAGAGAGATACGTTGTCTGGGTCAGAGACAAGACTTTAAAACTACACTTTTGGGTCATAAAGCAAAAAACATAAGTCATAACTCAGAGCAAATTAGCACTAGGTTAGAACAGGGCATATAGAGGGTTCCCTAGTAATTATTAGTAGTATAATTATTACTGCTATAATTCTCAATAAATAAAGACAGCCTAATATTTATCTCCTCGGGAGCACGTAATAAATAATTTATTTCCTTCATGTCCAAAGGGCAACAAAGTGAACTCTCACCTCCTTTTATGTCTTCGTTGACTTCATCATAATCTTTGACCTCATCTTTGTTAGCATTTTCATTCGTATTTATTTATTTCTCCAAGCCTACACCTGTAGCTTGACATATTATCCACCTTGAGTTTCCCCGTTGATGTCACTTATGACCCATTATCATCAGATTACCATCTTGCGCTTACTGTAATCTAACGTCAATTGTCTCTCTCTCTCTCTCTTTCTCTCTCTCTCTCTCTCTATGTTGTTGAGCTGGCGTTCTCAACTTCATCTCAACCAGTATTCTATTGAACTTTACCATATCATGCCTTATCTGTCCTTATCGGTATCATTTTCTTGTCTAAGTTTTTTCATCCTGTACCTTCATCATCAGTATCATCATCCAGATCTCGTTCCAAGAAGCCTAAAGTTGTCCTATATTATTTCCTTGAGATAATAATAGTCCATTTAATTTTTTCGGAAAGTCCTTGCTCGGTACAAGTTGTCTGCGTGTCATCTTAATTTTTTATGTGGTTTTGTTGCTTATCGTCATTATTAGCGTTATTATCGACTATATTATAATTATATCATTTATTCTTATCGTTATTAATAATATTATAATTATTATTACTACTATATCCGATCTTACTCAGCTTTCCTCTTTTGCTTTGTTCTTATCAACTAGTTTTCAAGTCTATTTACAACGCTGTCTCTATCCTCGGCGATCTATTTCGACCGCTATTCTCGCTTCGTTTGCATGATGCATATATATTTATCTCATTGTATTAATTGTTTCGTGACCTAAAGCAGTTATCTATGTCGTTCCCTTCCTTGTTTTGAATCAAGATTTCATTTTTTCATCCATTCTCTCATCACTCCGTAGGAGACAACTCAGATCGGGTCAGCAACGCTTTTTGCCGTTACGTATTCAGGTTTGCCCCGTAATCCATGTGGTATACACATTTATGGGCACAGATGGTCTTTTAAATAAACACCCCTTTTCCCTTCGATACACTTACTGCATATATTTATTAAATGTGCAAGAGGTGCCCTTCTCTTATGAAATTTTGCGGTCTATTCTGAGGTGGCTCATCTCTTCCGCTTATATTAGTTGCCCGTATATTCGTACTATAATAATTCGTCTAAGTCACATATCAACCATAGGGTCATCGGCTATCCCTAGTTTGTGGAAACTCTATATAGCATTCCAACCGACGGCTGACCCGCTGCCCGTCAATTGTCATCAATCGCCGACACAATGTCCGTTCATTCTATCGGAATTTTACTCTGCATGAGTTCCTGGATCGCCCCTTGGCGGTTCCATCCCTGATCCCCGCAAACCCCCACAATATAACCGTGCACTACTATTTCATTTCGTTCATCTTGTTTTACATGTAATAGTTTTTATATGTATTGTCTCTATTAGCATTATATGTATTATTATTTATTTAATTCTAGAGTTTTATTCACTAAAGTGCGTCGTAATAGTGATATATAATATTATTATAGTAACTATTCTCGTTATAGTAATCATAATTATCATTGGGCAGCATCGTCCTCGTCGTCATTATTGGAAGCAAACGCATTTCTCGTCAGCTCAGTCTCGATGTCCAATTGGCCTTTTTCCCTATTTCGTCCTTGCTTTCTCGCGCGCTTCTTGTTTTTATTTTTCATATTTATTTTCGTGTACCTTTCCGCAGCTGGGCTATATAGGTTCCATCTCTACCCATGCTTTTCTCTCGTATCATGCCACCTACGTCGTATAATTGGACTATTTTAGCCTTGCGTTCAATGGTTGGGTAACTCCTAGGGCGAAGCTGTTCTCTACTAGTTTTCGTATGTCGCATTGTTGCGTATCAGCTACATGTCACTAAATCATCATAGACAAGCTTGATCTGTTCATTTTGCATGCTTCTGTTGCGCTTCTTATTAGTGAGTCATATTTACATTTTGTACACTTATCCAGCACAATGACATCCCATAGACGATAAGGTAAACGTCTGACTGAATATGCGAGCGTGGCGAGCAGCATTACGTTTGTTCTGTCTGCTTGCAGTATATAGCTTTGCGTACAATGTATACGCGACAGTTGCGATACAGTTGTGGTATTTGCTGTTCTGCCGTAATTGACAACAGATAAGTCAACCGTTTAACTACAGGCCACGAGCGACAACGACCAGAATGCCAAACGCACAGACGTCTATAACGCGGAAAGCGGTAATAGATCCTTTGCTATGTCGTGCACACATCGTGAATTGTGAAAGAAGAAGAAGAAAGATTATGGTCGACTCGTATAGCGCGTAGGGTTTAGAAAAGGTCCAATAATGTTATTAGATAGAATTATAGATATAAGAAGTTATTCGGAGTGGAACTGCAAGAAACTTTGGGTGATTGCACTGGCTATGCAACTTGCAAACGGCGAACGTAGATTTCATTGAGTTCTTAAAGGCGATTTGCGATTGTTGGTGAGGCATAAATTTGCGTGTTTTACGTGTAGTACTTTAGTCGTAAGGAATTACTTCAGACGACTGGCTTCCTACACGAAACCTCGTTATCGGGCCGCAAATGTTGGCCATCAGAGCCCAAGGCGTTCGTTCGATCATCAATAGCGACGCAGCGTTAGGAATCATGCAATTTGATTTAGATATAGTTGGTAATAAATAAGGTTCTATATACGTGGAAGCAACAAATATCAGAAGTTAACGACAAGCTCCGAACAAAAGTAACAGAAAATATAGTGTTATTATTTAAATATATATAACTCAACATTATCCGTTTCACATAAAACTATAAGGCAGCAATTTGTATTTGGTTTACTTTGTTGTTGCGAAGATCTGTATGCTATTGTCTTGATTTCATTAGAAGCAAGTCGCGTTCAATAACAGGTCAGCGAAGGCAGTTCTAGATTTGACTAGTAATTTCAGGTCTGCTTCACTTTAGTAAGACCAGTAGAAAATAGGAAACTATTTTCTTGCTTTTAGACATACGTAAATGCTTCAAAATAGCCCTAAACCCTGATTACATAAAATAGCTGCCGGAGAAACGGAACCTCCTAGCCAAAATTTAAAAAGGGACTCGACTATAATTGCACACTGCAAAGCATTTTGCCACATTCACCTTGACTATTACTCAAGTTATTACTCATTATTAAGTAAGTGCTTGAATACTGTTTAACCATTAATCTCAATAAAATCGTCTAGCATTGCAGAGTGGAAGATGTCTAAATCAGTACTTCATACAAATGCTGCCCTTAAGCGATTTCTTCGACGTGTGCTTACTCAAATATCTTCTAAGTTAGATTTATATGTATAAATCTAACTTATATATATAAGCTTGGTAAGTTGGATTATGCGAATGCATGCCTTAGCCGTCATCGTGACATCTATTGCACCTCGCAAGAAAGAACTAGAAATCAAGCTCAATGACGGCAAACCCTTTTGCTGCCCTATTAGGTCTAGAGGATCCTGAATCCAACTTTGGCAATCATTCGAATTTGATGGAACCTCTTTCGAATTGAATCCTCTAGGATTTTCTCTTCTTCTTGTGGACTACCGACACAACCTGCGGCGACACTTATTTAGGATCAAATACTAAAAGAATATTTCAAAACATTTATGTGATTAGTGTCTAGCAGACAGCGTTTGTAATCTACTAAATGATCCCAACTAAGGCTCTAACAGAAGAGAATCATACTCACCACCTTATATATATATATATATATATATATATATATATATATATATATCTTACGTTAGTACGTAGAAGTTATCGAACGCATACAGAACCAGCCTTCTTAGTCATTGGGCATTATCGGCTCGTTTTGCACATGTTTGCTGCTAATGAATAGTATGTAATAATTATTAATATGTTAGTACAATCAGCATAATTGCTATTATACCCGAATTATTGCGCTTTTCGCGTTTTCTTATAGATACGGTTGTCATAATCATCTTACTGCTGCTACTGAAGAATCAATCAATGGTAAATCTTTAAATAAACCCGCTGAGAATACCGCAGTTCGAGAACACCTCGCCTGTAGATACCACTATCAATCAGGTCAATACTTGTTCTGAAATCATTTACTTGACGTGTGACGCACGTTCAGGTCGCTCCTTCACCGAAACCTGTAGTTCGTGCCTAGTTAACCTATTCATTCGCTTGCGGCTTCTGCATCATCATTACTCACTGCGACTAATAAAAGCTCTTTGATGTGTCTCTCGAGTATCGATTTATCGATGAATGGGGGTCTCTCGTTGTTGACACTCTTAAGACAATCTCGGCCATACCTGCCTTCTATCTCATCATCTATGTTGGGGACGATTGCCCTCCCCTATTCGATCGGCTGGTCCTTTCTTCGCTCAGTATTCGCAACCGATTCATCCATCTGTTCCTTCTTTCTTTTCATCCGCCTGCATTCTGTTTCCTACTTCTTTGCATCGAGTACATTTTATCCGACACCTGCACGTTTGGTGCCGTTCTGCATTGCGTTCACAGACATGCTTTATGTTTACCGCACTTTTTCACAGCGACGATTTGCTGCCGGCGTTTCGTTCTAATACATCTTTCTGTACGTATTCCGTTCTTGGCCCTGGTGACTCAATAATGGGACTGTACTCTAACTGGGTTCGCGGTCAGGGACTTACCATATATTGAGTCATAGGTATAAATCGGCCACCATAGCACTTCTTCCCTTTCCTGCCATACATATGTGTCAATATACATACAATGAATGCTCCGTTTTGCGAGTTGCTGGTGCTGTTCCAGTGAGAAGGAACGATGACTAAAGTGGGTAAAAAAGGGGAAGGGTGCGCGTGTTTTTCTGCTTAATTAACTATCGCAAATAGTTAAATGACAATAGTCGTAGCACATGTAACGAGTGACTCGTACGCCCGCGTAGCCATTAATGCCTATTCCCTTTCGGTGTTTTCAGTTATTTATTCCCCGCCTTCCTCGATCGCAGTTACAGGCTACTAGAAGAACGGACCAAGAGAGGACTGGCTACTTCCAAACAACAGATTAAGAGTGGCAGGTTTTTCCTGCACGTGATTAGATCTAGTTTCCCTTGAGTGACTTTTCAGGCAGTTGAGGTCGTTCATGCTCTGTTCAATCGAAGGGGTGGTAACAGTATCCGTGGGGCTTTGTTATTGTTGCTACTGCTGCTGGTCTTTGTTTTGTTTAGGGCCGTCCTCTATGTCCTCGTCAACTTCTTCGTAGGTATATTCACCACTACTGTCATCATTATCATCGTCATTATTAATGACGACATAACGGATTACGACATTCGGCTTCAGGTTGGACGGCGCATGGGCACTCTGTTTCCTCTCCAGAGAGCGCGCAATTTTAGCTTCCTCCTGTTTGCTCAGCATGGTAGGACTTTTCTTTAGGGGAGAAGGGACGCACACCGTGTGCACTGACGATGTCTGGGAACCAGTAACAGCCATGACCATTGTCTTTGCAGCCGATTGTTTCACTTCTGCTGGCGGTTGAGACATGAGATTCTGAGGGGCTTCGCCGGTTACAATCTGCTTCGTCGGAAATTGAGAACGTGTTGGTTGTGCAGCAATAGTTGATGACACTAACGTTGACCTGGGTAAGTCGTTGTGATCCGAGGAAGCTTCAGACCTATTGTTGTTGTCGTTTTGATCTTCATCATCATCATTGTTGTCGTGGCGACTGTCTCTGTTTACTCCAACCACGCAATCACCATCATCACTTGCTTCGTCGCCATCACGTTCCCGTTCGCCATTTTCGCCGTGTTCCTCGTCGTCTGACTCATAGTGTACGTCCGAACTTTCGGTAGCCTTCTCGTTGGCGCCATTCCACGTTGATGGAGATGCCTGATTTTTGTTTAGCTGCCGACCATCTTGTCCCTCTCCATCCTGATCATCTGTGTCAGATGCAGTTTTCCCTTCTGGTGATTCGTCGCCTTCCGCGTCAGCCTCTTCACTCTCTTTTGGACCCGTTTGATCTTCTGCTTCCTCCTCCTCCTCCTCATCATCATCATCATCATCGTTATTCTTATCATTTTCACTATTTCCGTCTTCTTTGGAGCTGGGTCCCTCTCCAGCCCCGGGCTGCGTTATCGTGATCACACGTTGAACTACGTTCAATGGCGATACAAACGGCCTCCTATTTGCATCGTCATCTTCGACTTCGTCATCATCCCCCTTGGAATTTTCCGATTCGTCGGCGATTTCGTTTTGATCTTCTACTGCATCACTGTTACCCTCTTCCTGTTCTCGTTCTTCGCCTATTTCGTCCTCATATTCGACTTCATCGCTTTCGGCGTTATCTTCTCTGGCGACGAAGTCTATACTCGACTCGTGAGGCGTGACGACGAACCTTGATGAAGGGTGTGCTACAATTGCCTGTCCGTTGTTTGCGCTAGAAGTTTTCTTGGTGCTTGCGGAATCAGCAGGAAACGAAAACGCCTGCGGTGTTAGAGCGGTTCGCACTTCGACGACATTACGATGCTCTCGGTCAAATCCAGTGGAACACGGTTTTTGCTGCAGCTTCTCCGCTAATGGCATGTCTACGTATTCCTCGTCGTCATCGTCATCTGAGTCCTCGTCACATTCCTCCTCGCCCTCACTTCCTCCACCCTCGACAAAGTACCCGTTCATGCGGACGTCGCTGTGCGACATGACCCGCTCTAACTGCTGCATTCGCGGAAGGCGGACATTCGAATCAAAAACGAGAACTCGCTGCGCTTGCACCTGATCCGCTCCCGCGCCTCGGTCATCCTCGTCCTCACTAGAACCGGAGCCATCAGAGCCAAGGTCATTTGTCAAGGTCACTAGGCGACAAGGGACGATAACGCCGCCGCCTGAAACAGCGGAAAAGAGGAAACAACGGTGCAACAGGAAAAATATGTCAGAGAAGAGAAAGCAAATTGTAGGAGACATACACGTCTAGGCGATATAAGGTTTATTGATATTACAGAATATATAGATAATATTTGGTTAAATGGCTAAAAATTGTTATGACGCTGCGCTGCCAAGAAATGGGTCACACGCCTTAAGGCGAAGTGGCCACACATATATACATAAACAATCAATACAGTCATACCATGTGTTCTTTAATTTAGCCGTATTCAAGCAGCTGGCTCCTAGCACAGTATAGTATGTGGTTTCAAGTTAAAGTTGAAGTTTCTCACAGATAAAAACGTTGAATAAGTATTAGAAAAATACAAAATAATATATAATATAGTATAAATATGTTGCAGTATTAATAATGATGTTATTAAGGACAGAGACAATGTTAAGAGTGGACGAGTGTTAAGGACACATTACCTTGCCGGCACACAACTATTAGGTGGAGGATTGCCCGGAGGCGGTGTAGGTACGGCCTGAGCGACCAAAGCGGCCTGGTCAGCTCTCACACAGCCCACCGATACGGTGCCGTACTGATGATGGTGATTTGTACTCGATGTGAGACTTGGCTCGAACAGATTAGCCTCTTGTAAGAGTTCCCTTGAGACGCCAGCCACTACCGACAGGGGGCGCTGTCTCACCCCTGTAAGCATCAATCACCGCCACCATTGCCAATGCCAATGTTCCAGTGAGTGTCCCGACCTAACCCCAGTTTGTCTTCTTGGGAGAAGCCAAGCGTCTGATCGATCCGACGAGCAAGAGTCTCAAGAAAAGGGGTATGCAACGAGCCAGTTTAATAATCATTATGGCGTTAAAGCCAAACTCACGGGCCACTAATGATCAACACTTCGAAATCAGCAATTAAAAGCAAAATACGATATAGAAAATAAGTTTCGATCGAAAGCACCGTGGTATATCAAAAATTCTCAGTAGAAGAGCCAGCAAATGGACTTCCGAGAACGAGCCGTAGGAATCCCTCTAGGGTCGTTTGTTCGAGAGAAGATCCATATTTGTTTCAAAATAATGGAGAATGCAAGATGTATTGAAAAAGGAAGGCTACACAAGGGTATGTCAGTCACGGAATGAACAGGATACAGCTTGCGGGTATGTGTCATATTGAATGCTATTGGTTACAACCGCCACTTCAAAGAAACCATCATTGTGTTAATTTAGGGCGTCTGCAATAATAATCATAATAAATGTAACATTTATCGTTTTGACTTCTCTTTCCTCTTACTAATTGTTATTATCTTTCAATTGTATGCAATGACTTATTGTTATAATTCGGAATTCGCTTTAAAGTAGCGGTTATTCCCATAGTTTTCCTAAAAGTGTTATCACGTACACAAAAGCCGAATTCACGTTTCGCTATGCTGTTAGAGTCGATGCATAAGGAAGTACAGTTTAAAGCATTATAAGGTGAAAGGAATGAAATTCAGCCAGACGCAAGTAGCGAGACAAAAGCAAGCAAAATTAAACATATAAGAAGGGTATGAAAAACCCATTTAGGAAATTATGCATAAGTCTACCAATCTAAACTTTGCAGCTCATCGTTGTCCAGTACTTACTTGAAGGCAGGGGCGGCGTCGACTGCTGTGTAGTGGAAGCCTCTTCGATGGGGCCACTTCCAACGCTGGGAAAGACTGGCACACACATCGGTACCTGTAGGATACCGATTCCGCCTGACCAGGATCCACGATTGGCACTTGGATCTTGGCCGTTGGCCAGACGACCTACTGAGCCGCTTCGAAGACCTCGATCGTCATCCTGAGTAACGTCCACATATACAAAATTAATCGGGGAACGCTTTTAAAAGTATCAAGAATTAGTATCAAGGGGTTATGAAAACGAAACGTAAAGCACATTTTAAATAGATCAATGTGTTTCTCATAACTGAATCCAAGCAGACTTCTCCTTTTAGCAAAATTGAGGTTTTTTTCAATAATAGATAAATACAAATGAAGAGAGCAACTATTAACATCATCAAGCAACTTTCTACAATTAGTGAGTTACACATAGTCACAGCTTAATTCATTTCAGTTTTATCTCGACAATCTTTCTTATATATTGTTACACCACTGACGTATGTTCCATCACTGGATAACTACGTTGTTATAGCAGCAGCAACAAGAATAGCCATATTGCATGATATTTATATATGTTACCTGGAATTCTGGGTCTCGTTCAACCATCGACTGTGGTCTCCTTCGCTGGTGATTAGGGGTTCCCCCAGCGGCGTGAGTGTGTTGATGTTGCTGTTGTCGATGCCTGATTTGAACAGGTGAGTCTAACTTAACAGGAATGCGAGACGGCTTCGTGGCTGAAGTCGATGAACTTACTTGTTGACCGCTACCGACTTCGCAGTTACGGCGCAGCGCGCCTATGACACGGTTATGAGGAAGACCGGCAGTCACAACATATCATTGATGTTAGAGAGGTTTTCTTCTCGACTTGGATGTTTCTAGGTTAAAACGCACCACAGCACACACTGACTGATTCATAATTAATCCGAGCTATTAAAAGGATGATGTGTATATCCATTTTTTAGCTGTGTGAACGCGAGTGTAAGTGCGTGTGACACTTGTGATTCTTTTTTGTCGGACACTCGTAGTTTACGAGCCCGAAGCCTTAACAAGCAAGGGTTGTTAGGTACACGTGGCCGAAATTAAAGTGCAGAATTAAACTCTCCAAATTTTGGTAACGTTGCGCAGAACTAATGGAATGGATAACTGAGACTATTAATGGCTCAGACAGTTAAAGCTAAAGTGTTTACAGTAATGCAGATAAGCCACATCGTCTATGGTACGTTAACTTGCACACCTTAAATAATCAAGAAATAATCAGTATAGTGTTACACATTTAAGTGTTGTTCGTGTCTATTGTTCGAGATACGCCGTACTCAATTTAAACGTTACATTCTATTTCACACGCAACGAGGGCATTGCATTGCCCGGAAGCCAATAATGTAAGAATCGTAGGAATCTCAACCAGGTTCTTTACCGCAGATCACCCGTTTCATTCCGCGACTCATAAGCTGACAAAGAGATGCTGAAGCGAACTTTCAAAGTAGGTAAGCAAAAATAGAGGGAGGCAGTACAGTCAGGTGGGTAGATGGCAAAGCCGTACACAACAACATGTATGGAGGACGTAGACAGTGGAGACGGAGTAGCAAAAGAGGGGTACCAAATCATCAACGGGACCCCCTTAGCGATCAAAACGCCGCCTCGCAAAGCCCCGCCGAAACGAAACGGGAGACGCACCTGCCAGATCGGAGACTTTAATCATTTGCGTTTGCGATTGCATTTGTGATGTGATGGATGTAATGGTCATGGCAGTAGTGAGTAGAAGTGTGGTCGCAGCTGCTGCCTCTCCTAGCTGCTCTTCGGACCGACCGGCCGTGGGGCTAGCGCTTTCTCCGCGCAGATGCGACGGTGCGTCGAAGTATACCGACCCTGTGGAGATGCGGGATGGTAAGCGCTTGCCGTGAGGAAGTCATAAAGAGACAGAAGAAGCTAATGCAGAAGAGTACGAATAAGGAAAAGGGGAAAAATGTAGTGAATGAGGTGACGAGAGGCAATATTTGTTCCCTCATCATGAGGGCGAAAGCATGTCTCGTCGTCAATCAAGACCTCCATGGATTTTTGATTCCCGCTAATCATTAGCTGAAAACTCTCTTTCTCCAAAAAAAAAAAAAGGTTTTTTTCGGTGAGTCGTAACATGGGCGGGTGAATAGGTTTGATGGAAGATGGACCCAGCAAGTGGAGCAGTTCTAACGGAAGAATAATAATGAGCAGATACTCTGGTACAACCGGTGGTCCTTAGAGCAACGGGTGAGCATAATTTTTGCCAGCATGGCCCCTCATCGCTCGTTCCAGCGCAAGTTGTCGGGCAAGGATTTAGATTGTCCTTGTCGTCGTTGCCGTCGACAACAACGACAATATCGAGCTCATGGCTTAATTCAGCTCTCTGCTCGATTGCTTGACACTTACCTTCAGGTTCTTTAGCTTGCTCGAGCGTCTGGTGCTGTAAGATTAGTTTATTTTTGAGAATGCCCTTAGGTAAACGCGATCCACTCTTGTCGTTCGACGCCGAATTGGAACTGTGTTGGTCGCCCTCTTCACGGTCCTCTTGACCCCCCGGCGGAGTCCCTCTTAAATGGATTGATGGAAACGATGACCTGCGCTCCGGTTCCTGGAACACCGTAGATGCACATAAATAAATACATATTACAGTATCTTCCTGTGCGTCTTGACGTCTCAGAGTGTCTGACATTTCATCGCACCAACAACATGCGAAGACGATCAACGTACGCATGTTCTCTTAGGATAAGTTCTTTCTGGGTTGTTAGTGCATCACTGTTTCATGTGTGCATTACAATGACCAATGGTGCAGCAATGTCGATAATGCTCTGTTAGGTTTATGGATTTGCTTTAAATCAGTAAGGAAGAAGCAGCTGCATATAGAGGATGTTTCTTTTTTATAATTTTGGCTATAGGGTATGCTTTTTCTGCGATTTTTAGCAGCGGCAGCAGTAGTAGCATAACCTCTATGTTAGTTTTATTATAATGCAACAGTTATATTCGCGACAAACCTCCATTCAGTCGAACAGCAGTTGATGTGGCTTTTACCCGGACCGTTATATTTAAAATATCTGGTGAGTTATGTCTGTGTGGTTAGTCAACGTTGAGATTAGAGACCTGTTTTTGACGTTCTGCATCCTTTAGGGCGGAGTCCAGAGATTGCTGCTTTACAGGCTGCTGCGCATGCCCGTTCTCCTCTTCAGGACAACTTCGCAACGAGATTGAAGGGCAACTCCAGACGCGTGCGAGGCCGCGTTCACTACCCGATCTGCTGGCACAAGCTGGTTGACTCATCGCGCGTCGCATCTGAGTCTGAAGCACGCCCTGCTTGGCCGATAGTGCTGAAGGCGCGTCAGCTTCATCACCGATCACCATACGGCCTTCTTCAAGACGTTCACTGATCTGCTTGTTACGATGTTCGTTCTTTGCAGCCTGCGAGCACGCAGTTAGTACCACACAACGTAATTGCATTCTCATTCTCATTTATAAGATACAGAAGGATTGTTATGCAGTTGGATAAAAGAAGGCAAATGGGGTCTCGTTTCAGCATGACTAGCTCAGACCAGTTGGTGACAATTACTAGTATATCATTGTAAACATATCCATGCAAAACATTGGTTCAGGTGGTTAAACTGGTGTTTCTGACAAGTTGTTAGACTCTGCGTTATCAGTTAGAAAGGTTAGACATAATCAAGTGGACTGAAATAAAATTAGATAAAGTACTTAGCCTTGCTTGTGGATTCTTAGCCATTTCATAGATAAATTCGTTTGTTTATGGTAATAATTAGATTTGTTTTGGTGTCTTATAACAAGCTGCGTATAGTAACTCTTTATTCTAATAAATGAGTGTCTCATGATAATGCAGCAATCTCTTCTTTAATTTATTGATTTTAGTAGCGCTTCTTGCGCTACTAAAATCAAGAAAATTGTTCTGAAAATAAGTGTATAAAAACGAATAGAGTTGTTTAGTTCAATCTAGAATTTGTACGAGTTAAAACGAATTAAGTTCTTACTTTTCTCGTTATCGCATATAATATTGCTTCTACTAGGTCACTGACTTAGAATTTATTTTCGTTCTTGCGAACAGTTATGTTTTGTCTGAAACTCGTACTTGTTCCGGGGAGGTAGCGTTATTCTCATCCATTTCGTGATCTGTCTCCTCCGAATCGTCGAAAGAACCTTGCCACCTTGACGCAAGCGTCATCGCCGCGATGCCTCCCCTCGTGACGTTTTGCATTGCCGAAATATCGTCGGCTACTGCGAACTGCGTGTACGACGCGTCTCGACCGGATGTCGCCGAACGGCGAACGTGATGCAGACGACGGTAAGAACTTTTGCAACATAGAAAAAGATGAAAAATCAAGTGCAGGCACAGCAAATGATCGTCGAGTTAGCGCTGCGATTTCATTCACATAGAGAAGTAATATGGAACTCACACTTCTGAGGAAACATACCGCCCTTTTGAAAACACCATTTGCCTTTTTTCGGGCTACGGCCTGGAACTATAACCTGCAGTATCCCTTTAAACCATATCTTGCAATTACCTAGAATATAAGTAATTCACAAATCGTCTTTATACGTTCTACAGATAACCCTTCCCATTCGTGCTGATCTCCGATCATTTCGAGCATAAATGATGGCTTCTTCCTAGTGGTACCCCGTACCCATACATATACGGAATTTAAGCGCAATCATTTAGCCCCGTCAATCTTACCCAGCTGACGGACGCTGTTGCGCGTGCTCAAATTCCTGCCGTGACTGAGATTTGAGTTTGCTACCCTCGTCGAGCGCCATCCCGGCGGGAACCGCGGTCGCACTCTGACTCCTCTGGGGATGGCGGTGCGCTGGTAGCGTGTGATGTCCTGACAACATCCTGTCGCGTATCGGCTCTCGACCTTCTCGACCCTCGCGGCCTTCCCTCGCTTCTCGGGTGCCGTTTCGGCTGTCGCGATCCGCTGGGCTTGAGCCACGTGACTCGCCCGCTAGGGTCGAGTGGGACATTCGACCGGTGCTGGCGCTCATTACAACGCCAATTCCGTGGCCTACTCCAGCGCCAATGCCGCCCAAGCCGCCTAGACCATGCCCGGATGGTTCTGTTTTTTGCTCTAGCGTCAACCGCGACTTTGTGCGTTCGTCGACAGTTGGCGTTTCCTCGCCGGCGTTCAACTGTTGCACATTGTTGTTCTGCTCGTGAACAAGTGGCCGCACGTTGTCCGGGTAGAGCCTGCCTGGATGCGGTGCGCTCAAGCCGGCGGGCAGGTCGCCAGCGCCCACGCCAATGTCGATACTTGTAGGGGGCACCGCATGGCCCGGGTGCGCCCCGGCATGCAAAGGCGCTGCGTGAGGAGGTGCGATCAATTTCGGCGTTCGCCCTCGCAGTTCGGGCGGAGGAGCTTGTTCGTCATAGGAGCCTATTACGTTCTCCTCGGATGCACCGCCTCCGCCAGCCGCGAGAAGGTTGTCGGTCTGCGCGGTCTGCGCTTGCGTCGTAATTGGCGTCGTGGTGACGGCAGCTGCCGCTGGAATGGTCCTGTGAAAAAACAACGTATGGCTGATTAGGGAACGCAAAAAAGAACGAAAAGTACAATGGATGATATGTGTTCATGTAGACATATTACATACGACTAAAGAAGTCGCAGAAAGTCTCGAATGGTAATTTTCAGCCATTGGTTATTGCTAATGTTGATGAACGTGAACGATGATCTTCTTTGATTGTCAACCTGCTGTCTACATCATACGTTGCAAAACTACCTAATTGTATACAAAACCTAGTCAGCATGGGCAATTTTCGATTTATTGTTTGAATGTTAGAATGTAGTGTCGAGGCTTGAGGGCTACTAATAATAGCAATAGCAAGGCTGAAACGTTCAACGTACTCGGGAGTGGGTTTGCTTGGGCCCTGCGTCGAGGTAGAATTGTTTGCCTGGCTTGAGTCCGTGTAGGTCTTTTCCCAGTCGAACGGATCGGACTCCTTTACACCGCGTCGTTTCATACAATGCTCAAAAATGCTAAGTAGACTGGCGTAGTCAGGTTTTTCGTAATAGTCAAGCGTCGAGATCTGGTCCAAAAATTGTCTGAAGTCCGAAGGGAGATGTTTGAGCAGTAGCCGATGGTCATACTTTTCTTTCATAATTCCAACCTGCAAAATACATAGATCATAATTGATGTTCATTAGTTGTATGGAAGCCTGGAAGACTATTTCAAAACCATCAATAAATATGCTAATATCCAGAATTCAATGAATAATATTAAGTTTGCGGAAAACACTGTTAAATATATTATTGCTGCTATTACCGTAAGTTTAATTTACGACTAGTCGCTCTCGTATTTATACGATATTATACTCAAATAAGCGCTCAGTCTAGCAGAGCGATCTTCTGTTCAAGGAAATGATAATTTGAGGTATGACTCTGTGCGGCGAAGTCCATCTATGGGTGCTGAGAAACTCGTACCTGCTCTTTGTCCTTAATTTTCCGCCAGGGCAACTGTCCGTTAACGAATTCAACAAGCATATAAAACAACGACCAGAGATCGTCGTGCCGCCCCATTTCTTTATTTTTATGGGCATTTATAGATGCATAACGGACTGTTCCTCGGAACCCTGCGGCCGCTCGCGGAGGTCGCACTTCGCCTGCAACGACCAATCAACAGAACAGAGAAAATAAATAAACACCAGCACATCTGCACACACACACACACACACACGCCCACACATACACCCGCTAAATAAAAACAATAAATAATCTTAATAACACGTTCATTCCGTTGCCTGTCTTCTAACTAGGTGGTCAATTTTATTTCTTTGAACAACTCAAATGGTTAGTTGATTTCGTACAGTCAGCTTTAGGCCAAAAGAGTAACGCGGGATTCCAACCGGTTTAATTCCTCCACAACCGTTTAATAAAGAGTATATAGGCATTATTATTATGTGCTTATTACTTCTGCAAGTACATACATATTATGTAATTAAATAGCCTCGCTTCTTTTTGCCCTGTAAATGTTTTTGTAAACAGAAGGCTTCTTCGAATTGCAAGGCCGAAAAAACGTACAGTCATGACCGACTACTTTGAAGTCAATTTCTACCCTTACATAGCTAGGCAGCTTTCTGCACGGTTGGCGCTCACACTGCGGGTTGACCAAACTGCACGGTCTTCGTCCACTTACTGACCTCTGAGACTGCTCTCCCCACAGAGGCCCCCTTTGCCCTCGTAGCTACCTTGTTCTCGCTCGGCTCGGGCCGACTCGATCAGGCGGACCTTGTCACAGCGTTCTTGTCGAGGGCTCGGCCCACGTTTGCATGTGAACGGATTCAAGCCAAGGCGACGACGTGCCTGGGTCACGGGCCAAGTCTTGCCCAGTTTTTCCCTTGCTCAACATCCGGACGGTACCCTACCCGCTGTGGGGGTCGTAGGCTACCCCATTATCGTATCCCTTTCTCCTCTCGGTCTCTCTATCAGAGTAGCCACCCCTGATCTGCCCATCATCCGCCCCATTCCACTGGCCATTCAACCTTTATAACACAACCCTAATGGGACATCAACGACAGCAGCAAAAAGAGCACCGCAGGCCAGTACATCCGTCGGCATCCTGCTCTGTTCTGAGAACGCCAGCACGATGGTCATTGTTTTCTTCGTAGACGGCTATAGCATCTACTCTTATGCACAAGACAATTATTTCACTACCGTCTCTTTAGATGATGGTTATGCATTGTTGTACTATATGCAATCCGTAAGAGCGAAGGACTTCTACGTCGCCCCTGTCCGTGGATGCTCGACGACACAACATGGAGAGACAGCTGTAACGGTAGTGTAGACAAGCGACAGCTCTTCAACTGCGAGTCTGGACGAGCCAAGGCAATCTAACTACGATGAACGAGCGGAAAGGTGGAAACCCAGTAGGAAGGAGTTGACATAACAATATTTATAAGGCCTCAAAAAGAGACAAAGAAGAAATAGAGAAGAATAAAGAGCAAGAGCACCCAGCGGATTAAGGACGTACAACCAGTGGACTTGCAAACAGATGTCCTCTAAGGCAAAGTGCGTGGGCTTTTACCCAATGAACATGCAGACGCAAGGACCGCTCTAGTCCGGAAAACATTTGGGTCCTTTGAGGCTGACCAATACGCAAAACAAGTATTAGCTTTTTGGTAAAAAGGTAAAAGTGTTCGTGGATAAGAATATCTCTGGATTGTTTCGTAGCTGAGATTAATCATTGGACCTAGTCATATCTAGCATTATAATAGATAAATCTGACTCTTCGGGTTCCAATAGGCCCCCGGGCGACTTCTCAGCGACGGTCATAGATAGAACCGACTTTCGTAGACTAACGTAGATCGATCATACACTCTGCTGATATAAATTAACAGAACTCAAAAAAATCGAGCCCGTTGCTGGAAAGAGACCACTAGCGCTAGTATAATTACTGGACGAAATCCATCATACATTGCAGAGATAATAGACATCAGACAAGACGTAGATTAGTGTTTTCGACGACAGCCATTGATACTGTAATGTAAATATCTGAAAATATGCGTCAATTGGAGATAGCGACGCTCTCTTTCCTATTGAAATGGGTTCGTCCATTTTCTTGGACTTGTTTGCTATCGACTTTTATTGCCGTCTTCGGATCTTACGCTCACACATAGCTCCGTCCATAACTAAACTCCAATGTAAATATGATTGCTATATTATTGTCACCTTCAATGACTATTTTTGCGAATTTGGTCGTTGTAGAAAAATGAAAATGTTTTAGCACGACACGAAAACGAAACGATCATTAGTTCATTCGCCATCTGCGTCAGCATACGCAGTACGGGTACAATCACCGACACAACTATTACCCGTATCGTCTGCTATACACCAGGCAATAAGTAGAATAGACGGACAAAAATTACGACCATTAGATCGACCAACTGCAGTATTAAACGATAGACTATATTCAGTTATCATACTATTGTATGGATGATATAAAGCTTCAACTACGTCTAATTTCGATGCTGTTCGTGATTTCTATTAGTTGATGATAAAAAAGGTACAAGCGTTAAAATGTGGCCGTTTCAGTCGGCCTAATTAAGTGTTCTCATAGCTGTTGACTTATTGAAAGCTCGCTTATACATTACCTAATCGAGCTAGCTAGGGACGAGATGCTCGGACGCGGGGTGGAACCACCATACTGCGGTTTTTGAACCATTAAACAAAATCAATTATAAATAGGAACTAATCATACCTGACGCGGTGATGTACTGCCTCGCTAGACCGAAGTCAAGCATGTAGACCTTACGACAGTTGTGCGCCGAGCGTCCCATAGCAAAATTTGAAGGCTTGATATCACGATGTAGAAAACCGACCCCATGTATGCTCTCAATCGCCTGAAGTATCTGGTACCCAAGCCGCAACGTTGTGGACAGGCCAAACGCCCCGCGGGGTTGTGATCGCCTGAGTTCGGCAAGGTTCTTCCCCTGTAGTTGCATAACGACGTAGTTGAAGCGATCGTTACGTCCGCACCCGATGAAACGACAAACGTGCTCACGACCTTGCAGCTTTTTGAGGACGGCTACTTCCATTTTCAGCACCTTCAACATGTGTAAAGCGTGTATAAAAGAAAAAACCCAAAATGGGTTAACAGTTTCTTCCTCATGCTAAGTGAGCTGCGCCGCTGATACACTGAACGTTCGCACTTGTAATACTTTTCGTGTATTTTGCAGAGCGGTCTTAGGCTGCACTTCGTTTCGTTTCTCACAGCGTCGACATCGCCATCACGTTACTTCGGCTTAATCGTTAATTGTGCAAACCTGCTAGCCTAATTGATAATAACTGACAATACATGCAAGAGAAGAGAGTAGCAATGAAGACTTCATAAAAGCAACAATTTAAACGGTATTGTTTCTCTATTCTGATCCGAAGCAAAAAGAAAAGGTACCAAACCAATAATGTGTGTATCTATCTAAAAAAGTATTCTATACTTGAAACCTCCTAATCTTAACGACTTCTGAAGATATGCTTGATTTTTCTATTTAATTAATAGGCTTCGTAATTAACTGGGAAAAACAAAGATGCTCTTATCATCTTTACGGAACAGAGCACTGTGGGACGTTCATCCACGCTATAACTAAATTATCTACTTCTGTCTCTTAGACCAATGTTTTTCTATCTGACAATCTTATTTAGGCTAATTATTTTATATTGTGGTTTATATATATCATATCATATCATACATAAATCATATACAACAGAGCTCGGCCTTGCCGAAGTGGTAAGCCACGACGCGACTAGTGCCTCGCCTCTCACAGTCTTAACATTAGCCTAGGCTACACACCTGTTTAGCCTGTTTTGCCGATTCAAGTTTGAGAGCGACAAGCTCCTTGGATACGAGATCTAGGCCTTCATAAATTTCTCCGAAACCACCGCCACCGATTTTCTTAACCACTTTCCACCGTTCCTTAACGACGTGTCCTGGTTGGAGGAGATCCTCCGCGGCCGGAGCCGCTGTGGCCATCGCTGCTTCAGCAATAGCGGCGGTCCTGCAAACTAGTTTGGCCTAAAAACAAAGCGAAGGCAAAAAAAAAAGGAAAACAAATCGACGAGAGAAAGAAGAGACGTCAGCAGAGAAGTTTGATATAGGCTAAATTATTGAGGAATTCATGTGCTTCTATGTCTTGAGATAGGTTCGTAAAACAGAATCGTAATTGTGTTTGGCTATACTAGTTGATTACAGATCAAATAGAATTAATTAATAAATATTCATTTGCTCGCACGTGATGAACGAAGTGAAGCTTTTGTTTTTTTACAGAAAGATAGTGTTTTTTTCATTGAATCTATATATATATATATA